GGATACACCAAGACTGAACACATAAGGTAATACATTGTAGATGACGGAGCTAAGTTTCTCACTGCAGGGGAAAGAAGTTACAAGTAAGGAAAGGAGGAAGGCCAAAAGGAACCCCAGGTGCTGGACTGGAATCCGAGGCATCAGAATCAATGCTTTTTTTTTTTTTTTTGACACAAGGTCGCACTCTGTCACCCAGGCTGGAGTGCAGTGGCATCATCATGGCTCACTGCAGCCTCGACTTCCTGGGCTCTGGTGATCTTTCTACCTCCGTCTCACAGGTAGCTGGGACTACAGGTGTGTGCCATCATGCCTGGCTATATTTTTTATATTTTTGTATTTTTAGTAGAGATGGGGTTTCACCATGTTGCCCAGGCTGTTCTCAAACTCCTAGGCTCAAGTGACCTGCTCACCTCGGCCTTCCAAAGTGCTGGCATTACAGGTGTGAGCCACCACGCCTGGCCATAATTCATGTTTTCTTTATTTATATACAGACATAAAGATAGATGAAAATGTGTGTGTGTCAGTACAAATGCTTGTATTTTCTAGCTCTGGCCACTGAGAGGGCTCAGAAGCAATTGGACCACAGTAGCAGCAAGTACCAGTTGCATTCGGAGGTCCTGGTTTCTAAGTGCCGTTCTCCAAGGAAAGGAACCAGGGCTCCTTGGAGAAATGGTTGATTCTAGGGCTGAGGTGGGAAAGATACAGATGAGTCTGGAATCGCCTGTGATGCTGGAAAGTGAAGATGTGCTTAGGAAAGGTGGAGGACACCCTGAAATGTCAGAGACGGAACCTGAGGGGCTCCCACTGGCCAGAGCCGGAACAATATGAGTAACAAAATAAACAACGGTAGTGTTGAGTTATAACCTATGCAATCAAATAAATGTCCGTGATTCCATGCTAATATAAAACCCTACCGAAGAAACAAGGTAACTAAATGAGGCGGGGCAGCTCATGGACACTCTCATTAAGCAGACATGGTAATGGCTGTTGCAGACCAGACCCACTCACTGATGGGTGCTGAAGTGGGAGTTCATATACAGATATGTAGATACAGAGTGGGAAAAATGTTGAGGAGAAATAGGATGTTTACATAATTTCAAAGTCTCTCCACATGATTATATTAATGTTCTAGTGGAGAAACTTGGCATAACTTCACCCTAGTCTTGGGAAAGCATTAGACAAACACACACTGAGGCACAGTCTACAGAATAACAGTCAAACCTGTCAGGGTCACATATAAGGGAAAAGACTGAGGGACAGCCTCAGATCAGGAGAAGGGGACACATTGACTAACTGCAGGGCGGACTCCTGGGACACTGAAGGGACATTACTCAGTAGAGCTGCACCAGTTGTCATTTCTTGTTTCTGATCATTGTTTCACGGGAGATTCTAATATTAGAGGAATCTGAATAAAATATAGATGGCAACTTTCTGTACTATTTTTGCAAGTTTCCTTTAGTTTAAGATTATTTCTAAATAAAAAGTTTTAAAAAAAATGACTGATGCATAGGGCCTGGCCTGTGAGTGAAGGGAAACTCACGTGTTTGAGCTCATTTCACACCAGGTGTACTTCTGTACATTTCCTAATTGAATCTCACAACCCCATGTAAGGAGAGCATGGAAGCTTGTCTTTGCATGACGGAAAAATGAAATTCGGAAGTGTTAAGAAGGCTGCCTAGTAAGAGCGGGCCTGGGATTCAAAGGCAGGCCCTTTCTAGTTTCCTACACAGAGAGAAGAGGCTGTAGATGAAAAGTGGAGGTGAACGTGAGCAGCAAGGTCCTGTAGGGCCACGAAAGGAATCTGGACTTTACCTTAGAGGCCATGGCCTAACCCTGGCTGCACACCAGATCCATCTAAGGGCCTTGAACACCATTATTGCATGGGCCCCACCCCGGAAGGTCTGATCTGGGTGGCCTGGGGCAGAGCTTGGGCAGCGTATGCCTATAAGGCTGTGCAGTGGCTTTAACTTGCAGCTGGGTTGAGGCTTCTCATGGCCAAGCGCTAAAGCGTGGCCCTTCCCTGCAGAAGCCTGGTGCAGGGGAGTGGAAGGCCTCTTCTCATGGCTGTCTCCATGGCTCCAGCCAGGGGCACCTGCTTTTGTTTTCTTTCGTGGATGTGACAAGATGTCTGACCCTGAGGTGAGCCTGTCCAGCCTATCCTCAGAAAAAGCCTTGGTGCCAGACAGCAGGAAATCTGACAAGCATTCTAGAGCCAGATCCCTGCCGGGACCTCCTAGATGGCCTCCTTTATTGCGCCCTACTCCCCACAGTCGATTCTGCACACCAACTTGTAAAACCTGCTTAAAACAGAAAATGGCTCAGGTTACTCCCCTGCTCAGTCCTTGAAGGGGCTGTCCCTCTCACTGAGCATGAAATCCCAAATCCAGTCTGTTTTCCAGCTGCAAGAGGCCACGTAGCCTGGCCCTTGGCTACCTCTGTGTCCCCTCAACTCCCCAGGCCTCCTTCCGCTTCCCTCAGCTTGCCAGGCACGCCTCCTTGGAGGGCCTTCGCTTGAACTGTCCCCTGGGCTCGAAAGCTCCATTCCCAAATTACCGCAGAGCTTGCTCCTTCACTTCAGTCACACCTCGACTCAATGTCAGCTCCTCTGAGGGGCCTCTGGTGGCCGCTCCCTAACCCTTGCCACACTTGAGTATTCTTTTGTGGCAGTGCTCTCAACCTGACATTACGCTACTCATGCATGTCTGTTTCCTGTGGATGGTGTGTCTGCTTTGCCACGGGGCTGACTTAGGGTAGTGGCCCCTCTGAGACTTGGATCTGTGGCTGGCTCCTGAGTGGTACTCAATAACTCTTACGAATTTTGTGTGAACGTGTGTGCATACACGTGTGCATATGTGTGTGTGTGTGCATGTGTGTGTGCATAAGTGTGTGTGTGCACGTATGGGTGTATGCACATGTGCCACCTCCTAGGCCTGCATCAACATGGAGTGGTGGCTCCTTCCCTCTGTACCACTGTCCAGCCAGCCATGGTGGCATGAGTCTCAGTCCCCACAGCGACTGCATGCCCATTGGGTGCCAGCCTGCAGGGATACCACTGTGCCATGGTGGCAACGGCAGCCAAAGTTCCACAGCTCCTTCATGGTCATCAGAACCAGTCTCTTGGGACAAGTAAGACTTCCTTGTGGTACCTGGACTTCTCCCGGAAAGAAAAGCAACTTCTGGAAGGTAAGCCTGCTATTTTTGTCAAAAGTGGGGTGAGAAATAGAAATTGTGAACTTTGAGTAGTAAAATTAATGCAACCTTATTTTATCCCCAAAGCTGATGACATGGGCAAATTGGTAGTTTAGAAAAGGAGGAGGACAAGGGGGAGGAGGACAAGGGGAAGGAGGAGGGGGAGGAGCAGAAAGAGGAGGCGGAGAAGGAGGAAGGTAGGAAGCAGAGAAAGAAAACACAGAGGCCACTGTGGGTGACTCTGGAATGAGAATTCTGCTGTCCTCAAGATGTGGCAGGCAGTGTCCCTGTCACTAGCCCAAGCCCATTTGCCCAGCACTGCCAACTAGCTCTGTGTCCTGGGAGCGCAGGGTCCCTCGAATTCTTCCCAGGCCTTGAAGTCACACAAGTATTAGGGTCTTCGCCAGCTCAGGAGTCACATAACTTCTATCCCTGGGGTTTCCTCTGTGGTGCAGGACTCACAGCGTCTCTTTCGGGGAAGGGCAGAAAGACGGAGGAGCAGCCTTCACTCTAGTCCGCAGAGGGTCTGCTACTGGGTAGACTCCAGGAAAAACAAATCATGCTCCTAGTGATCAGCAAGCTTGCCTGGTGCCTTACCCACAAATCTTGTGTTAACTGTGGCTCCTACCTTATTCCATCATTCCAGCCTTCCATCATTCATTCACACATTGTCTCTCAAACACCACTGAGTGTTGAGCAGGGTTCCCTGATCAGCCAATGATGATATAGGATGCCCAGTCCAATGTGAATTTCAGAGAAGCAATGACTAAGTTTTTAGTGCCACATGTTCCATATAGTAAATATATGGTTGGGACATACAAGAACATGTTATTTGCTGCATATCTGAAATTCCACTTTAACTGGGCATCCTGGGTTTTATTTGGCGACCCAGTGGCTACCGGGCTCTGCTCCTACTGTTGGTGTGCCCCTCCCCCCACCCCAGGGCATTTTCCAGAGACTCAGTGCATAACTGAGTCATGAAAACTCCTCTTCTGCACCTAGACTGGACGCTGTTCAAGACAAATGCTGTAAAAATGGGGTTAGGAGACTTATGCTCACTTGTTTACCTATTGTATTGAATGACAAGGAAATGGTCTTTAACATTTACTTGTTTAAAGAATGTGAAGACCAACCTCAAATAGGGTTTCTTGTCCCTAAAGAGTTTAGATTTTATGATGAAATAACAAATTCTAGAAAAATGTCAGACTCAATGAGTTAATGAAGACTACAAACATACAATCTGATACCAGCTATTTAAATGTGTTCACAGAAAAATGAGTGTAGGAAATCCATCCAAATATATTTGGATAATTATGGATTATTATTAACACAACCCAATGTAATCAGCCTTCCTGGCCTGTGAATATAAAAGCAGTCATGTTCATAGACACAACTGAGGCCTGGTTTTTACTGACATGTGTTAACTGGAACGCATGGCTCCTTTGCAATGCCCTCCTGCTCCAGGTGCTTCTGTGAATTCCCAGGAGGAAAGCATCCTCCTGGGAAACTGGTCTGCAAGCTCTAGTCACTTTGCAGTGTCCTCTACAGGTCCAGGCCCCCTGCCAGCACCTGCCACCTGCACAGCTACTTGGAGAGCCAGTGTTCATACCAGTGCTGCCCTTCCAAAGCCAAATCTCGTGGTGCCTTCTGCAGAGGTGGGACGGCATACCTTCCCCAAAGCCATTCTCCCATCACACCTCCAAAACACCCTCAGAAGCAGCTGTCAGTGCCTGGCTCTTAGCCTCTCATCATGCGTTGCTGAAAAGCATTCCGGCACTAAACTCCGTACCAAGAAGCTAACAATGCTGTCATCATCTTAACGCCATTTTATTTTTAAATATAAGATTTATAATGATCACTTAAAAATATATACATCCTCTATATTTCATTTTTTTCTCTAGAAACTTTAATTGCAGAGATGGCTGGCATGTAAATGGATGCAAGGGGCCGCAGAGGCCCGCAGAAAGCAGATGGGAGGGACTGACCTACTGGTGACTTTCATTCTAGAATCAGGCATGTGTTGAGAGCTTTGCCCCGCAGATTCTTCATCTCCTTAAGCACCTTCTCTCCTGCCTTGTCTGCTGGTTGTTCTTGATCTTTCACTTCTCTGAGTATCAAAAAAAAACAAGAAGGAAACATGAGGACACTTAATAATACCATGCAAGTCACCCCCTGAGCACTGCAGGTGAAGGACGGAGGAGCATTTTGTTTAATATATAAAGAAGGTTTTCACCACATTTAGTGATAGTTACCAGAGAAAGCACTCAGCTTATGAATGATTCAGATCTGGCTTGTGGTCTCAGCTGTATCCGTTTCTGAGTATGGGCAAGTTACCTAAGCATCCAGAGCTCCTGTTTCCTTATGTACGAATGGTGTAATTCCCATCTCACAGCACTGTAGCGGAGGTGAGATGAGATCTTATTCACAGAGATCCTAGTGTGACGTCTTCTGAGTGCTCAGTCCATGCTGGCTGTTTTTCCATCTTTATGAATGAGGTAGATACACACTATTCTGACTCTGGCAATGGCTCCAGAAGAGTGGGCACCAAAAGGGAGGGTTGTGCTCCTGGACCAAGTAGTGGCTGACATGGAGCCAAGGCTGATGCTGGTGTGGCCGGGGTTGCTGGGTAGAACTTTGACTGGATGAGGTGTAAAATGAGGCTATCAATTGAGGAGTGCAATGCGGGGTAGACAGAGGGCTGAGAGATGGGGAGGGCTTGGGCTTCTTAGGGGCCTGTTTGCCTGTTGGTGGGCTGTCGCTAAGGATTAGGATGCAGATGGAGATCCGGCTCAGAGACTGTCCTGGCGCTCACCAGAATCCAGGTATCTGTGAGGAAATGATGAGTGTTTCGGTTGAAAGGACAGATATCTTGTTCAAAGATTGTGAACTCAGCTATATGATCTGCTTGGGCAATAGAAGAATCCAATATAAAATAAAGTGCTTCTGAGACATTTTCTAAAGAGGGTGACATGGCTGGCCAATGCCTGACAGTTTTGGAAAACCAGAAATATCTGAAAGTGGATAATTAGAATGTTCCCTAATGCACATAATTAAAGAAATTAGTTGGTATCATTTTATGGAATCCTGTTTAAATATATGTAGATCCTGTCTCCCCTTAGAGATAATAATGATTGAGTAATATTGTGTTGATCTAAGGAGTGCTGAATGATGTGTCAGCAACTGAAGTCACCGTCTCACAGTTCCTTGAACATTTTATGGGGAATGTGATTGACCTCTGGGTCTTGAGAGGGCCAAGATCGCTGTCCAGGCAGCAAAGAATCTCTCTGGTTAATTTCAGTCATTGAGTGAGAGCAGATGATTCTTTGCATCCATGAAAATAAATGTTGGCCAGATACCAAATAAAGAACAGTCTTCATGGGGAAATGGGACACTGTTGATGTGTTCTTTTTGTTCTGTCCCTGTCTGTCCAGGCTCTGGTCACGTGTGTGTCTGGCAGGGAGGACTCTGTTGGCTTCTGGCTGAGAGGTGGAGGTGAGGAAGGGAAAAACTAAGAACAGAGAGGTGGAAAAAACTGAGCACAGGATTAGGCTTGACGTAAGCTGAAGAGAGTTTCTGAACCAAATCACTTTTGAAAATGGTCTGTGGAATATCAACTTGCTGAAATACTATGCAGCCAATAAAATGACAATTATGTTGACAATTTTGATGCATAAAACATGCACATAAAATAATTTTACTTCCCAAAGAGGTAAATTAAAAATGCCAATTATTGCAAATGTATGAAATGTATACATGTATTTTTGAAAAATTAGAAGCTGACTTGGTGTGCAGAAAATTTACAGTTCATTGTTAGTTTTTTTTTTTGTGTAAAGTACTAAAATATGTAAAAAATGATATACCACTTTGGGTGAATATGTAAAGTACTATGTTCTATTTCATTTAATAATAATTTGATAACCAAATGTCATTCAACATTAGCTCCATGGTATAAGGAGTGAAGACTCATGTAAAAGAGCAAGTGAGTAGATAGGTATTGAATATTATCTTGCTCCTGGGGGGCAAGCCAGTCTGTGTCCAGAGGCAATATTTAAATTAATCATTTAAAACCCTGGGTCAGTTATTTGAAACTTGAAGCAGAACACAAAGTGCATCCGTGTTGAGGTGCAAGAGGTTTTATATGCTGGGTAGTAGAACACAATATTCCACTGAGCTAATTAACTGATCAAAACAGACACTTACTGGAATTCTATTTAAAATTTCATTTCCTACATTTACTTTTACTAGAAAATGCCAGTCTATTTTCTGAGCAGTGTTGGCTGCCGCAGGTCTCTGGAACTATCACAGATAAACCAGAGAGATGTCATACTGCTCTAAGAAATGTGAGCATTTGTTTCTGAAAAGGCAGGCACCCCACAATAAAGTAGAAGACAAACTGACGAAACAAATTTGCAACATGTATAAGAAAGGGTAATTATCATTAATAAATGAGGGACTCCTACAAATAAGGAAGAAATACAGGCAAAATAGGCCAAAAAAGTCCCTCTTCAAAGAAGAGAAATGGTTGAAAAGCATTGACAAATTTTTAGTATAACTTGTAAACAAAGAAATTAAAACTAAAATAACGAGATGGTCTTTAAAAAAGTTCTGCCTCAAAGATGGCCAAATAGGAACAGCTCTTGAGTGCAGTTCCCAGCGAGAACACAGAGGGTGCGTGATCACCACATTTCCTTTTTACTGCCCACAGACCAGGAGATTCCCGGGCGGAAAAGTGCCACGAGTCTCCAGCACAGCTGTTTCAGCTGGTGCAGTGGGTCTCTGCACAAGAACTCACACAAATCTGGGTGCTGTTTCAACTGGTGCCTGAAATGCCTGGGAGACAGAGTCGCCCATTCAACTGAAAAAGAGGATTGAAATAGGGAGAGAGGTGATCTGGCTCGGTGGGTCCCACTCCCACAAAGACCAGCAATCTGAAACACTCTGGATTGACTGTTTCACAGCAAGCACAGCTGGACCTAGGACAGTCCAGCTCTGTGGGGGTAAGGGCATCCACCATCACCAAGGCAGTCCACCACTACCAAGGCAGTCTGCCATTACTGAGTCAGTCCACCATTACTGAGGCAGTCCACCATTACAGAGGCAGTCCGCCATTACAGAGACAGTCTGACATTACTGAGGCAGACCGCCATTACTGAGGGAGTTCTAACTATACCTCTATAAACAAAACTGCAAGGAAGTTCACACAGCATCTGGGCAGAGCCCACAGCAGCTTAGCAATGCCTCTGCTGGCAGACTGTGACTAGGCTACCTCCTTGCTGGGCAGGGCATCTCTGAAAAAAGGCAGCAGCACATCAGGAACTTATAAATAAAGCCCCACCTTTCCAGGACAGAGCACCTGGGAAAAAAAGGTGGTTATAAGCTCCACTGCAGCAGACTTAAACGTACCTGCCCAGCAGCTCTGAACAGAACAACAGAGCTCACAGCTCAGCACCTGAGCTCCTATAAAGGACAGATTGTCTCCTCAAGGAATTCCCCAACCCCTGTATATCCAAAGATGTCACCTCAGGCTGACATCTGGTGGGTATCCTTCAGGGACAAAGATAACAGAAGAAGAAACTGGCAGCACCCCTTACTGTTCTGCAGCTGCTACAGGTGATCCCCAGGCAAGCAGGGTCTGGAGTGGACCTCCAGCAGTCCTAAAGCAGAGGGGCTTGACTGTTAGAAGGAAAACTAAAAAACAGAAAGAAATAACTTCATCATCAACAAAAAGGACATCCACTCAGAGACACCACCTGAAAGTCACAAACTATAAAGACCACAGGTAGATAAATCCACAAAGATGAGAAGAAACTAGCACAAAAAGGATGAAAACGCCCAAAACCAAAATGCCTCTCCTCCTCCAAGGGATCACAAGTCCTCACCAGCAAGAGAACAAGGCTGGATGGAGAATGAGTCTGATGAATTGACAGAAACAGGCTTCAGAAAGTGGGCGATAACAAACATCTCTGAGCTAAAAGAGCATGTTCTAACTCAATGCAAAGAAACTAAGAACTTTGAAAAAAGGTTTGATGATACTAACGAGAATAAACAGCTTAGAAAAGAATATAAATGAACTGATGGAGCTGAAAAATATAACACAAGAACTTTGAGAAGCATACACAAGTTTCAATAGCCGAATCGACCAAGCAGAAGAAAGGATATCAGAGATTGAAGATCAACTCAATGAAATAAAATGAGAAGGCAAGATTAGAGAAAAAAGAGTAAAAAGAAATGAACAAAGCCTCCCAGAAATATGGGATTATGTGAAAAGACCTAGTCTACATTTGATAGGTGTACCTGAATGTGACAGAGAGAATGATCCAAGCCGGAAAACACTCCAGGATATTATACAGGAGAACTTCCCCAACCTAGCAAGGCAGACCAACATTCAAGTCCAGGAAATACAGAGAACACCATAAAGATGTTCCTCAAGAAGAACAACCCGAAGGCACATAATCATCAGATTCACCAGGGTCAAGATGAAGGAAAAAATGCTAAGGGCAGTCAGAGAGAAAGGTCAGGCTACCCACAAAGGGAAGCCCATCAGACTCATAGTGGATCTCTCAGCAGAAACCCTACAAGCCAGGAGAGAGTGGGGGCCAATATTCAATATCCTTAAAGAAAAGAACTTTCAATCTAGAATTTTGTATCCAGCCAAACTAAGCTCTAAGTGAAGGATAAATAAAATCCTTTATGAACAAGCAATTGCTGAGAGATTTTGTCACCACTAGGCCTGCCTTACAAGAGCTCCTGAAAGAAGCACCAAACATAGAAAGGAACAACCAGTACCAGCCACTCCAAAAATGTTCCAAATGGTAGAGAGCATTGACACAATGAAGAAACTGTGTCAACTAATGGGCAAAACAACCAGCTAGCATCAAAATGGCAGGATCAAATTCACACATATGTAAATGGGCTAAACGCCCGAATCAAAAGACACAGACTGGCAAATTGGATAAAAAGTCAAAACCCACTGGGGTGCAAGGATATACATAGGTGATCATTAAAAAATCTGGAGACAACAGATGCTGGAGAGGATGTGGAGAAATAGGAACACTTTTACACTATTGGTGGGAATGAGTGTAAATTACTTCAATCATTGTGGAAGACAGTGTGGTGATTCCTCAAGGACCTAGAAATAGAAATTCCATTTGACCCAGCAATCCCATTACTGGGTATATATCCAAAGAATTAGAAATCATTCTATTATAAAGACACATCCACACATATGTTCATTGCGGCATTGTTTACAATAGCAAAGACCTGGAACCAACCCAAATGCCTATCAATGATAGACTGGACAAAGAAAATGTGGCACATATACACCATGCAATACTATGCAGCCATCAAAAATGATGAGTTCTTGTCCTTTGTAGGGACATGGATGAAACTGGAAACCATCATTCTCAGCAAACTGACACAAGAACAGAAAATCAAACACTGCATGTTCTCACTCATAGGCAGGTGTTGAATAATAAGAACACATGGACACAGGGAGGGGAGCATCACACACTGGGGTCTGTTGGGGGGGACTAGGGGAGGGACAGCAGGGGGAAGGGAGTTGGGGAGGGATAACATGGGGAGAAATGCCTGATATAGGAGATGGGGATGGAGGCAGCAAACCACATTGCCGTATATGTACCTATGCAACAATCCTGCATGTTTTTTGCATGTACCCCAGAATCCAAAGTGCAATAAAATATATAAATTAAAAAAAGTTCTGCCTCACTGATAAAGATGAAAATAAATATGACACTATTCTATGTTGTCCAGGGCATTTGAATGCAGGTGGTTCTAACCTCTACTAGTAGAAGAGATGGTAACACAATGTCTGGATGGTTATTGAGCCATATATATATGAAAATTTTAAAATGTGCATTGATATAGAATTTATCCTAAGAAAACAGTCTGGTAAGTTTTCAAGGAATTATGGTAGAAGGATGTTTGCTGCAGCACTATTGATACATGTTCATTGGCAGATTCTTGGTTAAATAAATTATGGTACATCCACTCAGAGAAATACAATAATTTATATGTATATTTATAATATGTACTTACGATAAATTGTTAAATAAAAGTGCAGAAGAGAAAACAATATGTATAATATGACTGAATTTTGTTAAAACCATTTGTGTTTATATTTTCAATCATGTATGATGATTTCCATATATATGGAAAAATATATTTAACTATATATATTTAATATTATAAATATATTTTTATATATTTAACCATATAATATATTTAAACCATACACGTGGTTAAAAATATAAATACATACATAACATATACATATAAATATATATCTATATTTTTGGAAGATCATACATCAAAATGTATGTTACTACCTTTGGGTAGTAGGATTGTTTCTAAATTTTTAAAATAATATAAAGACATTTTTCAAAAAAAAAGAATAAAAATAAAGTTTATACATGGAATTTCAAAGTTATAAACCACGTGAACTATAGGTGATTGTTTACATTAAAAAGTATTCTTCAAAACCATTTTTTTTGTTTTAGTTTGTATTTCTTTCATTACAATGGAGATGAACAAATTTTATATGCTTCTAACTGTGTTTTTGAATGAATTTTTCGAAGGATGATGCTTGCTTGGCTCGTTAGCCCCTCATGGAGAGGAGGAGAGAACATTTACTGAGCTCTGGTTCACATCAGGCAAGTGGCTACGTGCTTCCATGGTTGGCATCTCATTTCATTTTTACATTTCCCCTGTGACGAGTAGATTTTATTTTCTGCATGCTACAGATGAGGAAACTGAGGCCCAGTTGATAAGGACAATAACTTGGTTCGAGATTTTATATGTGATAAACAGTGCAGCTACAGATGGTCTGGCTCCAGGGCCAGTTCCTTATGCTGAATGAAACTCAATCAGTTATTAATAAGAAACAAACATATCCCTGAAATTGGTTGATAATCACATGGAAAAATGGATTTCAGTTTTTAAAGGCTTCCTTGCTAACAAGATTTCAGGGAGTGTAATTGTGCCTAAAATAAAATACACATCTAAATATATGAAGCACCAGAAATGTATCTCTTTCAAAGATTGAGCTATTTAGACTCAGACAACATGATAATTTTGTACTTAATGTAGAACAAATTTCATCCGAGGTTACCTTTTAATAAAGCATAAAAAAGCATCCACTTACTTCTCCTTCCTGATGTCCTTGCAGTTCAACATAGGAAATGCCACTTTGATCATTTCTGGAGTCAACATAACTTCTATATTTTGCTCACAGAGCTCACTGCAAAGTAATAAGATGTTTAGTGGGACCTGCTTTTCCTTCCCAATGTAAAAATAGAATGAAATATTGTGATCATTAGGAGTTATGCAATTCTTGTGGTATTCAAGTTTAGTTCCATCTACTTTCGTTGTTTACATTAAAAGAAGCATAAGGCTGATAAATTGCTTTCCACCAACAAACAATGGTAGGCGTGATAGTAGTTATTTATAACCAGAGAATAAATAGTAATTTGAAAAAATGGGGGTTACAGAATTCATATTCTTTTCCAGTGCACATGAAGCATTTACCAAAATTGACCATATCTTGGGCTATAAAAGAAAGCCTGAAAGATTTCAAAAGACTGAAATTATTCAGAATATGTTCTCTGACCACAATGGAACTAGAATGGAAATCAATAGCAAAGAAGACAACTGGAAAGCCCACAATGGCTTTAAAATTAAAAAATCTATTTCTAGATAGTCTAGTTTTTTGTTTTCAATCTTTTTGTGGTCTGCTATCCCTTAGAGCAAGAGTTAGTAAACTTTTTCTATAGAGTTTATGGGTGATATGGTCTTTGTTACAATTACACAATTTTTTTCTTGCGGTTGTAGCAAGAGAGGAATCATAGAAAAACACAAAGGTGAATGGGTGTGGTTGTGTTGCAATAATACTTTATTTACAAACGTAGGTGATTGGCCACATTTGGCTCTGAGCCATCGTTTGCTGACCTCTGGTCTAGAGCTTTGTTGTTCGATGGTTCAAGCTGGGCAACTGCATGTTTGGGTTTCCACTGGAGCAAAGTGGGGAGGGAGGGTGTGCAGGAGACATGCCCACTCTGTTAAGAGCTGACCTCAGTAATGGACTACATCTTGTCTGCTAACATTCCATTGGCAAAGACTTAGTAAAATGGACAACTTAACTGCAAGGGAGGCTGGGAAACTTAACCTCTAGTGGTATTCAGTGATGCTAGGACTTTAGGAGAACAGGAAAACAAATTTTTGGACAGCACCCATCTTCACTACACTCAATTAGAGAAATGCTTCCAAGATCAACAAAGGGCAACAAATGCTTCAAACTCTGGAATTACAAACAGGGCACTTCACTCAGCAGAGATATACGTAAAAAGAGGCGGGCATGGCAATTTTCTATCAAGAAAAATACCCTTGAAATTTGCAAAAGTTGTTCTAGCCTCATTAGATTGAAAGCTAATATTTATCGAGTAGCTGCTGTATGCAAATCACTATGCTGGTGCTTTGCAAACATTATCTTCCCATTAGCAGTTTCCTTATCTCAAAGGTGGGCATAATAATAAGACCTCATCATAAGGATTAAATGAGACTGTTTGCAAAGTACTCCCCGGCACACATTTAATGTTCAGTGAGTGTTAGTTATTATAATTACTACTCTCCCCATCAGCATCAGCACCTCCTTTAATTCTGACAACCCTCTATGAAGTAGGTACAACTATTCCCATTTCAAAGACGAGGAAATTGAGTCAAAATAGTGTGCACATCAGTGCTGAATAGAGGAGCTGAGTATGTTTGGATCTGCTGAACATCTCCCCAGTGGGCCTGACCAGAAAGAAGCTGAAGCAGATGTGGATCACCCCACCCTGGCTGCAGCAACCTCAAGAAATGCCATCATGCAGTGATTTGAGTAGATGGCACTTCAACATTCCTTTTCAGATCTGGAGTCCAAGGTCTAGAAGCTCAGGTGTTGCCAAGTATCACTGCACACCAGCAGGTCTTATTTGCCTCACATATTTAAGATTCCACTAACTGATTACTCACTTGTAAAAATGTACTTAAACTATCAGTATAGAATGTGTTTATAAAAGAAAAAATAGAAATAGTAATCAACAAATAGTTATTTTCGAGTATATTTGGTATGAAAGATGCCATATCCTGGTGTGTAATAAACCATTTCCTGCAATCACAAGCAGGCTGGCAGTGACGCTAGTCTGACCATGACAGTGATAATTAGCTATCAGTGCTTGAGTTATCAGGATTTCTTTGCTATATTATATGGTGTAATTTAGAACGCAAAAGTTTGGATATGTTAAGAATGAAAACAGTTTTGAATGATGGAGGTAAGGAGTGGAGATTGGCAGTGTTGCTGTCCATTGTCCTCAGATGGCCTTGGTCAACCCAGCTGTTCCCCCTCTGGCTTGCAATTCTTGAACAGGAGGTACTGAGAATGCAACATCCTGAGATAAACGACAGGGCTGTGTCCTTGTTCCTCCCAGAACAGGATGTTCTGCAATGCTGAAGCTCAGCGATCCCTGTGACACTCAGGGAATGAAACCCAAAGGAAAGGGGTCCCTCAGCTGTGATGCAATGTGGGACACATGCAGATGAGACTGCATCTGCCCTGGGCACCTTTCCTAAGCCTCAGTGGATGGGCTCACCCTGGATCCTAGGCTTCTGTTTATTCTTGCTGCCTATCTGTGAGTCATACATCTGCTTTGCCTGACTTACTGTCCTTGTGTTCTGTCTCACTAAACTACACCTAAAACCCTTTGCCGATGTCAAAGAAACAGTCAGAAAAATATATTGATACATATGGATGCTCCCTGACTTAGGATGAGGTTAGGTCTCATTGGACCCATCATAAGTTGAAAATACCACGAGTTGAAAGTGCATTTTTGACTCATGATATTTTCAACTCATAATGGGTTTATCTGGACAGAACCCCATCATAAGTCGAGGAGTATACTGAATGAGAGTCACTTTCATGCTACTACTGTAAAGTTGAAAAATCATAAGTCAAACCAGGTACCATCTGTAGTTTCTATAATATTTTGATAAGTGACAGGAGTTAAATACTAAGAGCTTCATTTGCAAAGTGAGAAAGCAAAGACCATGTATAGGCACAATTCATTCATGAGCCACATCTCAAATAAAAATGAAGACATCCATCTTGCCACAGAAATATGGCAATACTTCAAAACACTTCCTCCACTCACTTCAAGGCAATGCAATCCCAGGTAACTGCTACTGGCATGGGAGTCAGAACCAAATGCAGGATGATCAGGCAGGCACGGGGCTGGGCACTTGGCCTGAACGGTGATCAGAGTCCAGAACTTTCATGCCAGTACTTCACACCAGTCAAATGAAAGCATGCGGGAGCATCAGGCTTTTGGTAAAGCAGCTTAGCTGGCCGTTTGTGTTTCCAGCTTTTTACCCATCCCCTCCCTCGTGTTCTCCAGGGCCTCCCCACTGGACCGGGAGTCTTCTCATTCCCATCACCTCTCCTGCCACTGCCCCTCAACCTGAACTCTCAAAAGACTCTGGCGAATTTATACAGAGTCATAAGTGAGACTCAAAATGTTCCCTCCCCAGAGGTACTTGAAACAAAGCCCAAAGCGAAAGAAAAGGGTCTTCAGTAATAGGAGTTCAGTAAATAGTGGGTAGGGAGGAACTCTGGGACCGAGTCTTCCTAATGTGCCAGAGCTCTTGTCATGCAGGGCTGGTGGCCCTCTTTGTGCTAATCCCCAACTCTGCTGTCACAGATACAGCAGCAAATCCAAGTATTCCTTTACACCCCCAAAGACATGAAAAATAAAAAATTAAAAATATCAGAAGTATTTATTCATCTATACTTGAGATATAACATGGATGGAGGAAAACCTCTTGGGACATGAATACCTCTTCATTTGCTATTTTGGAAATCTAAGCATGTATCTTCACTTATTCTTTTTTTTTGAGACGGAGTTTCACTCTTGTTACCCAGGCTGGAGTGCAATGGCGTGATCTCGGCTCACCACAACCTCCGCCTCCTGGGTTCAAGCAATTCTCCTACCTCAATCTCCCGACTAGCTGGGACTACAGGCGCGCGCCACCATGCCCAGCTAATTTTTTTGTATTTTTAGTAGAGACGGGGTTTCACCATGTAGACCAGGATGGTCTTGATCTCTTGACCTTGTGATTCACCCACCTCGACCTCCCAAAGTGCTGGGATTACAGGCGTGAGCCACCGCGCCCGGCCTATCTTCACTTATTCTTATACTGGGTGGTACAACTTTATTCTAAAGTGAGCTGTTGCTTGCCTACCAAGTGTCAGATACTGGGCTAGGGTTTTGGAATACCAAGGTCATTAATGGTAGTATATCTAATTATCAAAACCTTACTATGTATGAGGCACTGAGCTAAACATTTGACATGTATTAATTCATTTGCTTTTCATAGCCACCCATGAGATGGGTCCTGGGATCATTCCATTTTGAAGATGAGGACACTGGGGCACTGAGAGGTGAAGCCACTTGCCCAAGGTGTACTGTGAGTGAGTGGTGGTGGGGGGTGGTGGTGTTGAACCCACTGCCTAGCCCTTCATCACACTATTCTATACAACATCTCGGGTGTTCTATAATCTTCTAATGGAATCTAATTTTGACGAGAGATGAGTTTGTATACAACTTTATTCTATGTTGGTTAATTAAACTAGAAAATTTAAATGAATTTTACTTTTGCCTGGTAGAAAGTATCTATTTTAAAACATATGGACTTTCTAATTTTCTTCCTGAAATTATGTGGTGATATAATAAGTAGCTAAGTATATTTTTAAAAAGAAGAAAGTAATAACTCAGATCTAGAGGCATTTGCAAATGGGGCAATGCCAGGTGAACCAGCTGGAAACACGTGTGAGCTGGACATGCAAATGCTGCATGCTGTGATGCTCACGGTGGAGAAGCTGCCCTGGGACAAGGGCATGGGTTCCTGCTTGGCTCAGGTTTCCCATTCGTAGCTCTGCTGCTGGGTCTGTAGCCATCAGGTATAAATGAGCATAGCGACAGGAGATTGAAGACCGTTTTCATTGGCTGTTGGATGCTGATCAGTAAAATAAAATTTAAGTGCCTTGCTTCTGGACTTGTTTTTTTTTTGAGACTGAGTATCACTCTGTCACCCAGGCTAGAGTGCAATGGCATGGTCTTGGCCCACTGCAACCTCTGCTTCCCAGATTCAAGTGATTGTCCTGCCTCAGCCTCCCGAGTAGCTGGGACTACAGTGCATGCCATCACACCCAGCTTATTTTTGTATTTTTAGTAGAGACAGGGTTTCACTGTGTTGGCCAGGCTGGTCTCAAACTTCTGACCTCGTGATCTGCCCGACTCAGCCTCCCAAAGTGCTGGGATTACAGCCATGAGCCACCGTGCCTGGACGCTGGACTGGATTTCTTTATGCCCATCCAAGTTCTACCCATCTTTCACATACTAACGCAAGTCCATGTGACCACTGAAGCCTTCTAAGGCCATTTAGCACCAACTCAGATCGCCTCTCCCTTGAGCTCCTCGAACAGCTAAACATAAGTAAATCATAGAGTTTAGAGACTGTCAATTCTCCACCAGGAATTTAACATCTTACCTGGGTGGTGGTATGAATGGGCGTTAGCTTTATCTTCTCATTTGAGTTGCTAGCCCAGGAACTCTGAGCTCTTCTGAAGTGCTTTACAGTACCTCACATATTTTTGAAAAACAGACATTAGAGGACAAAGGTAAAAAAAAATACCGTTCAACTGTTTCTAGTCTGTCTTCTTCTGGTAGGGCATCAAGAACGGCAGGGACTTCTATTGGAAGCATAAATGAATTGAAGGAGTCGCAGCTGTGGAAAAACCACACACATAGTCAAAGACAGAGTCACAGGGAAGTCCTGTGGTCTTTACATCATTTTCTAAAGCATTTTTATTTTACCACTGGTGAGGCCTCTGCTACTCTGTCCTTCCTCACTCTTGAAAAGCCATTTATGGTTTCCAGAGGCAAAGGCAAGGGATGCAATAGGCCCCAGTCAAACCTGGGAGAATGTTGCCAAGTATGACATTTCCTGGAGTTTAAAAAGAGAATCATAGCATTTTTCAGTTTGTAGTGTCTAAAATTGTATTATTTTCTGGGATGGGTATAATTAGATACTGATATGGTTCGGATCTGTACTCCCACCAAATCTCTTGTTGAATGGTAATCCCCAGTGTTGGAGGTGGGGCCTGGTGGGAGGTGAATGGATCATGAGGGTGGAGTGCTCAGGAATGGGTGAGCACCATCCTCTCGGTGCTGTTCTCATGACAGTGAGTGAGTGAGTTATCATGAGATCTGGTTGTTTAAAAGTGTGTGGCACCTCCCCTGCACTCTTCCTCCTGCTCTGGCCATGTGAGGTGCTGGCTCCCACTTTGCCTTCCGTCAAGATTGTAAGTTTCCTGAGGCCTCCCCAGAAGCCAAGCAGAAGCCACCGTGCTTCCTGTACGTGGAAGCCTATGGAATCGTGAGCCAATTAAATTTCTTTTTTTTAAAAAATAAATTACTCAATCTCAGGTATTTCTTTATAGCAATGCAAGGACAGGCTAATACAAATAGTTACTTTTGGTCCTAGTATTTTTCTCCCTCCTTTATATTCCTTCTTAGATATTCTATTCCTTTTCATATCTTCCTCCCATCTCCCTATGCATTGTTCAGTATTGTAACTTTAGAGCTTTATTTAAAAATTCCTGGCTATTGAGAATGTTAAAGGAATTGAGAGGGGTGAAAAAACATATTGTTATTTTAAAACTTGGTAGCAGACTTTTGTTTCAAGTGGATTGAATGAGCACTTTTTCTGGGGTCTCAACTCCTTCCACACACACATTTCAGATGATATAGAAGGAATAAAAACTGAACATACATCAGCAAAGAGAACAGGAGAAAAGACATATGTGGATAAAAGTTTTCAGTCATTTTCTGGACTACATTTCTAGAATCCGAGAGAATCCTGTCTCATGAAAAACAGTGAAGAACGACAGAGCCTGGAGCACATTTGGAAGGAAACAGACCTCCTCACAGATGCTGGAAAGGCTGAGGCTGAAGGTAGGGCAGGAGGCAGGAATGGAAAGCAGGGATTAACTGACAGCTCCTTTGTGTGTGCACATTTGTCTTTGAGATAAGATTCTTATCTTTGTTTTGTTATTGTGCAAAAAAGCACCTGCTTGCCAAGTATGAAGACTCGCTGAGAAAAAAAATTATAGCACCATCGTTCTGACTAATGGGAAAAGAATGAGGAAAGCGTCTGTGAGCTGATATAGAGTGACTTTCTGGAGACATTATTAAGTGGAGAAAAAATGCAGAAAAGCATATCTAGAATGCCACTGTTTTTATAAGAAAGAAGGGAAAATAAGAAAGAAAAATATTCTGCCTACCATCACAAAGAGAAACACAGGAAGGATATGTTAGAAGACCAAGCTGGCTACCTGCCAGGGGCTGGAGGGAGCAACACTTCCCTGAGTACGACTTTTATGTAGTTTTGAGTTTGGAAAACATGTTAATGCTCAATATATTGAAAAAATAAAATTAAATTGATAAGAAAGTGAAATAAAAAACAAAGACTGAAAACAAACTGAAATAAATAATAATATTTCACAGAAATTCCATAACCACATTGGAAGGAAAGAAAGACGAGAGAAAGAGAGAGAGAGAGAGAGAGAGAGAGAGAGCGAGCTAAAGGGATGAGAAAAGAGAAAAGAAAAAGAAGTCACCCAGTAACTTACAGTATTTGACTAGATACCTACAGACTTGGGTGGAAGCGGGTAGGGGAGACCTGCAAACAAATCGAACTTATTTTGCATGTTTAATAAAGGTGGCTATGGATCAATCAATTCTGAAATGATTTTTGATGTATTATAAAATTGAGTAAGTAAATGTATTAGAAGCCAGGGTTCTCACAGTGGAATAAGGGACATACAAATATGGAATGGCAGAAAGCAAGCAATAACTCCATGGATATGGACTGGAACTGTAGGTATTGGTGTGAATACATGATTTCTAAAATATGGATGTGTATGAGTATATGTGTGTTTATATGAATATACATTACATATATATGTATGTTGCATATATCTTTGTGTGTACACTCTTTGTGTGTGTGTGTGTGTGTGTGTGTGTATTTGTGTGTATCCCTGACTTTGTCTGCTGAACAGGCCAAGAAACAAAATTCCCCCAGTAGCAATGTGTACACATAGCACCCAGATTTTGGTCTTTAATCCCATTTTCCACCAAAAGGAAGCTGGGCCCCAAGACAGAGGTTAGCCCTATTAGTAACTGACTTCATGACAGATGATCCAGGTTCTATTAGAAAATTCTACCAAACTTTACATTAGAACGTGTGTAGTCAGAGGGAATTTCCACTAAGAAGAGGGACTGACACGTTCAGGTTCTGGGCCACTCGCCAGGGACCAGGCTGGTCTAGAACAATGGAATGGCAACAACCAGGAGTTTTTCATGAAGCAAAACTTACCCAATTTTAAAATTCTGAGATCATATTTCTCTCACTTTTTTTTTGTGTTAATATATTCATTTAAAATTGAAATGGTGATGACAGTAGATGGTGGTTGGGCATTTTAAAATTTGTTTTGCTTTGTTTTATTTATTTTTTTAAATTTTTAATTATTTTCTTTTGAGATGGGAGTCTCACTTTGTTATCTAGGCTGGAGTGCAGTGGCACAATCTCTGTTTACTGCAACCTCTGCCTGCTGGGTTGAATCAATTCTCCTACCTCAGTCTCCTGAGTAGCTGGGATTACAGGTGCCCACAATCACACCTGGCTAATTTTTGTATTTTTAGTAGAGATGAGGTTTCACCATGTTGCTTAGGCTGGTCTCGAACTTCTGACCTCAAATGATCCTCCTGCCTCAGCTTCCCAAAGTGCTGGGATCATAGGCATAAGCCACTGTGCCCAGCTGTTGCTTTGTTTAATTTTAATGTCTTTACTTGATAAAGTAAAACCCTGAAAAACCCAAGGCAGTTTCCAAAGTTCTTCTGGACATTTTGCTCATGTATGAAATCAGAAGGTCTGGAAAGTACTGGTATAGACGATCTCTTCAGTTGTCACTGATGCTCAGATTTTACGGAAGTCCATAGAGAGTTAACAAATTCTCTCTGAGTTTACTGAAGAGCAAAGATATAAATTAACTGCTCCAGTTATTACAAATACAAAACTGGCTTGGAATAAATAAACACTAAATAACTATATTGCAGAGTTTAACAACAAACAGTTGTCAGGGGCCAAAGATACAAGGGAAACCTTGTAAGTAATAGCTAATTTATTCAAGCGACATGGCTGCAAAGTTGAAATATCATTTGTAGGAAGTTGCTATGGGTTGAATTTTTTGTTGCCCCCAAATTCATGTTGAAACATAACTCTCAGGCCAGGTACAGTGGCTCATACCTGTAATACCTACACTTTTGGAGGCCAAGGTGGGAGGATCAGCTGAGGCCAGGAATTTAAGATCAGCCCGGGCAACCTAGCAAGACCCTATCCCTATTTACATTAAAAATAACAAGAACCTAACCCCCAGTGTGATGGTATTTGGAGATGGAGCCTTTGGGAGGTGGTTAGGTCATAAGAGTGGAGGCCCCATGAATAGCATTAGTGCCTATAAAAGAGGCCTGAGAATCTGGGAGCCATTGCTCACGTCTGTAATCCCAGCACTTTGGGAGGCTGAGGTGGGAGGATTGCTTGAGGCCAGGAGTTCAACACCAGCCCGGGCAACGTAGCAAAAACCTATCTCTACAATAAGTAAAATTAGCCGAGCATAGTGAGGCACACCTATAATCTCAGCTACTTGGGAGTTTGAGGGAGAATCATTTGAATCCAGGAATTTGAAGCTGCAGTAAGCTATGATTATGCCACTGCACTCCAGTGTGGAAGATAGTATATCTCATCTTAAAAAAAAAAAAAGCCTGAGAGCTCCCTTCCCCTTTCTGCCATGTCTGGACACAGTGAGAAGACAACCATGTGTGAACCAGGAAGCTGGCCCTCACCAGACACCAAGTCAACTGGTGCCTTGATCTTGGACCTCCCAGTCTCCAGAACTGTGAGAAAAATGAATTTCTGTTGTTCATAAATTATATCTATGGCATTTTATTATAGCTGCCCAAAGAAACTAAGACAACTTAAAAAAAGGAATTACTTCTTATTTTGTATCTGTTTTCAGAAATAAAAACAAGACCTAGTCTTACATCCAGTGGTAATCCATGCTAAGGAAATACAGAATCCTCTCTTGATTTTACGAGTTGTTATGCAACTGCAGTTTATTTTGAAACAAAATGGTCCAACAGAGCACTCAGGCACAGAAGCTGAAAATAACAACTCATGGTTTGAGAGTTTTCTTTAATTCATGGAGAGTTCATGTTTAATTCATGGTTATTCAAGCCCAAGGTAACTGCATTCTGATGGCTTGTTGAAAGAGCAGCCTCGGGAGTTTTTTTTTCCCCCCAAGGACATTGCTTTGGAAAGAAAATAGGATGCTTTCTCTTGATTCTTAAGAACCCTACATGCTGACGACGGGTGGACACGCTCAGCAGGTCACCACTTCTCACCATTCCTAATTTTTCTTATTCAGTCCCCAAACCCCATTTGCGTAGATCATTTCTGAAGAATCCTCACCCCGCAGCAAAATGAGGCAGTCTGTCACTGTGGTGATGGACTATCGCCATCTGGTGGTGACAGAGTGACTGCGATGCTAAGTGGGCGGGAAAGGAGCGTAGAAGAGAGAGGAGTTACTAAGCCTGCACCAGGGTGATGGTAGAAGCTTCACAGGATCGTTGCACTTTCATCCTCACACACACACAAATGTGAGGATGCCATCACTGCCTCTGTCTCCGAGAGGAGGAGACGATTGCTCCAAGGGCTTCTTTAGTACACAGCTCGCCCAAGGACAGAGCTGGTGATACATCCAGTGTACAATGGAGGCAGGTCTCTCCCATGCCAAAGCTTTCCTTCTTTCTTTGATGCCATTGTTTCTGCCAGTTCTGGAGATTTAGCATTCTAGAAATATGCTAAAAATGTAGAACAAGGATGCTGAGTTTGGGATGACAACATGGTGGATGAAGAATGGATGAAGTAATAATTGGAAACAATCATATTTTTGAGCTCCTGTCATGTCCCAAATCCTACGCTGGATGCTTTCTGTTTACCACATGCTAATCTTCAGGCAAAGGAGAGGAGTAGAGAAGCCCTAAGGAAGTGACCCAAAGGGGACGGCGCATGGGAAAGCCTGGACGGACAGCTGCATTTGGCTTAGTTCAGGAAGAGCTTTCCAATGAAGCCTTTCAATGGAGAGGATGGAGGAAGTCAAATTCAGTGTTCTGGAGTCACAACCCGGATTCCAACTATCTCCTTGAATACCTGGGGAGGGGTGGGTGGATGTGTGGTGTATATGGGATGGCTGCACGTTGGGTGAGTTCCTGTACTCCCACTAAAATTAAAATGTCAGTGCTGAGAAGGGCCTTTGCAACAAGTCCAATCCCCTTGTCTTACTGACAAGAGTACTGGACCCAAAAAGCTGGCCAAGGGGCATGGCTGAGGCCACATGGCTCCCGGTGGTCACGTAGCCTCCCTGGTGAGTTTCTGAGTCAGAGGATCCAGGTTACACGAGTGGGAGCTGGGGGTGTGTAAAGATCACCTGCTGATCTTGGTTGGTGGCAGAGCTTAGGGGGCATGCCAGGCCTCTGCCACCTTGGGGTGGGCCTCATTCTGGATTATAGGATCGGAACTTCGTTTGACAGCTGATGATAATCATTTTGGGACACTAGGCATGTCTGCTCACCAATCACTCATTTAGCTTTATTTATAAGGACAGTGGACTGAAGAAGCAAATTCAAGGGCTCAGGAGTGAGCGATTGGCCAGGCAGAGTCTAACGAAAAGGCACCAGTCTACTTGTTTGATATCTTAAGGTTTTGAAGAGATATAAGCAAATTAGCAAAAATGTAGTCACTCTAAGTTTCTTCTTTCATCATCCAGCAATATTCTGATCTACTCAGTGTGTATCTGGAGCAAGGCTGTGTCTGTGTGGGGATGGCTGTGGGGCTCACAGTGAATGCCAGCCTGTGGCATGAGAGGGCCGTGGATCCTTTGGAACTGGATACAGAGGGTGTGGAAGGCTAATCTTGGCAATTTATAATATTTTTCTTTTTTGTTTTTGTTTTGAGACAGAGTCTCTCTCTGTCACCCAGGTGTCAATTTATGGATTTTAAAAAGACTGACCGTGAATATTTCAGTTGAATTAAATGGATTGGCTGTCTGCTTGTACTCAAGCATTGCCAGTTAGTCATCTAGGACATTATTTTTCAAAAAACTGTATCTCAATTAAGATATATTCCAAATATAAAAATCGGTTACACATCATCACATTTCTCTCCCTAGCAAACTTCCCTCATGCTTTAGAAGCATGGTTTGACATATTATTGGCATTTAACTTTTGGGTATCATTGCTTCTGTAATCTGTGGGGCACACATACTTGTGAACAAATGGACGAGCGTGCTCACCTCTTCGTGGTCTCCATCTTGAAGGGGTCTGGCAGGGAGGAGAGAACCAGGGACTGGAAGCTTTTCCAGTGCATGATTCCGGGAATAATGTCCTGTAAGAAAAGCCAGCACAGAGGTGCGACATGGGAAGCAACTGTCTGGTGAGGCAAAGTTTTGGAGGGACTTTTGTTTTAGTCAACGACTTTTCAGTCTTAAAGGTGGCTCATTCACTGTGAGCCCCGCGGCAATCCCCATGTGCTTTGCTGAAGCTTGGAGCTGTTGCTGCAGGCAGTGGGACCCACAGAGGGTTTTTGAGCCGGAAATGACAGGATCCACTCGTGCCCAAGGAAGATTTCTCTGGAGGGAGAGCTGACTGCAGCAGCAGCCAGCAGTGGGCTAGACTGGAAGGAGGTTTGCAAATCTGTTTGTTGTGTCAGTGCAGACTGGAGGCCCCCCAGGGGTGGTTAAATGAGGGGAATGAGGGAAAGGGTCTCATGGGTAACTACACAAAGTCCATAAAACAGAAAGGCAAGTAGGGACACAGGAAGAGGAGGCAGTTAAGGGTGTGGCTGGTAGAAGTGGGGAGAGAGACCATAATCCAAGTTAAGGGTTGACCGAGTTTGAAAGGGCTGAGGATAATTCTCAAGGGGTGTCGGAGGTCAGGGTGCTCCCCTGGGGGGTAGGGTGGGAGGTAATTCTTTGCAGCCACTTCTTTGTATGTGTCACGCCACCATCTTGTCCATTCTGGTTTTTACATTTGGGGCCAAAGAGAGAGGAGGTCAGACCAAGGGGTTGTGCATACCATGTGGCCGTTTTGACCTGGTTGAATATGAACACATGAACATTAGGTGCAGCCTTCCAGAGGAATGCTGACAAAGGGCAGCAGGAGCCTGAGAGGCTGGCGTGGTCAGGACAAGGCAGTGTGGGGTCTCCACCTGTACCCCTTTAGGGCTGGCAGTATGAGGGTCAGTGTTACCATTCTTGTTCTGCAGCTGTGGCGGCAAACCTTTGTCTCAATTCCGGCTGTGACCCTGTCCTCGCCCCCTGCCCTCCCTGCAGCCCAGGGCCACTCGGCCAGTGAACCTGGTGATGACATTACCGTGTGATGGAGAAACTGCTTTTGGGTGACAGGAATGCTGGACCTGCGGTGAGACTCGGTGAACTTGTACTTGGGATGAGAGCATAGATGGTAATCTATTGACGTTTCTGCGTAGGTCAGAGGATGCATTACTGCAAATAATCCTGGGTTGGGATTCTGTGGAAGACAGGGAAAAAAATATTCTTTTTTGTTTACCAGTTTCTAAGCCAGGCATAGGATAGGCGTCAGCTAATGCTGTCTGTGGTTCCCACTAGCACTAACACTCTGTGACTCCATGTCAGCTTGTCTGGAAAAGAGAAGCAGGAGAGCCAAGGTGTCTTCAAGTCGGCAGCGTTTAAAAAATCAGTCATTCATAAATGTCACTTTTCTGGCTTAAGAGCTTCATTACATACCATATGGGTTTGCTAAACTCACACGAAAACAAGCACAACTGAAATCGCAGCTTAAAATAGCTTCAAGTATTTGTTTCTAATGTTGATGAATTAGAGGAGTCAATGAATAAGCAAACTGGTTTAAAAAAGCAAATAAGCTTCTGGTTTTGAAAACAAAAATAGGCTTTTAAAAGGTACTTTAAAGAGATGACAAAAAAAGAGGATGACATTTGATGTATCAGGAAATGTCAACATTAACATTGTTTTGGTAATGTGTTTAGTTCAGGAAGCCTCCATTTGGAAGTTGTATCTGGTTTTAAGGGAGATCCTGTTTTTTATTAATTTTCCAGCAGAACTAATGGAGGCATAAAGCAATTATATCAAAATTCTAAAATATAGAACCTTTTACTGTTCTCTCAAGGGCTTGTTCAACAAAAACCCTATTCTTGTCCCAAACAACAACATAGTCCCCTTCCCAGCTGTTTAATCTCAGATGTTTGATGTTTAAGAACCCCTACGCTGAGATTCTGTTGTTTGTATGACTTTTTTAAACATGTAACCCACCCCCCCACCAATCTACTTAGCTTATAGAAACTCAATCTCACTACCAAGGAACAAATGCCCCCAAAAACTTAAATGACAGGCAGCTGGACCAGAAATGAATTCCAGCACCCAGATGCAAGGTGAGGGAGGGCCCAGCGGGGGTGAGTCAAGAAGGCTGAAAAGACAGTAAGCTTCGATGCAGAGGCTGCCTTTCTGTGCCATTTGAAGGCCTGGGGCAAGGGTCGGGAGAGGGCTCTGGACTGAACTCCTGGATATAAAGGAGTGGGAAGGGCAAGGAGGTGATAATGACCACTGAGGGAGTCTGAGATGCCTACAGTAATGTGGAAACAAGCATACAACTTGGTAAGCACTTGTGGTTGAGGCAGGATTTAGGGGCATATATAAGGAGGCAGTGATATGGGGGGTGGGGCTGGGCCTACCCTAGGGGATAGTGTGAGGGCAAAGGTACACAACACCGTGAGAAGGGAAATGACCTGTGTGGCCTTCAGGAGTGTCTTCTACTGTGGTTGACTGAGGGCATGTGAAGTTGCCATGTGGCTGGCTGTCTTGGTCTGCCTTGGCCCGTGTAATGAATGCAGTCTTTTTGGAAATGGCAATAGCACTGTCTCCCACAGTTGTCATCCTTCGGATCCCCAATGCTACCAGAATAACTGGTCTGAGTGGTCACCTTATGATGCTTTTAATTTTAATTTTCCTGAATTAATGCATGCAGATGGTAGCAACTCATGTAGGCCGCAAGGATTTGTGAGGAAAAGCAGTGGTCTTCTGTGAGCCCTTCCTGCTTACGCACACAAATGCCCCCTCCAAACTTCTCCTTTCATGTTTTGAAGACTATTCTGCTGCTGGTCACCTTTGTGACTTGAAATGATACACACATAGCCCTATTACTTGCTCATCATCTTTCGTTGAGTATTTCAACTTCCCTTCGGGTGAAATGAAAACATCATCCCTCTGCTTTCCTGTACCTTTCCTTCTTGCTTTCACAATTTTCCTCTGATATTGTTGAGATTCTTAACATTTGCCTTCCAGAACTACAGCCAAGGCATTCATGCTTTGCTCACAGGTTGTCGCGAAAAGTTGAAAACTATTAAGTAGCATTTACTTTATCTCAACTGTGTAAATACCTTTCTCCGCCAGGCTACGTGGAGGCTTGAATTATGTGTTTGGTTTATTTACTTGTTTATTTTTTGGCTAATGGTTCAGTATCAGGACCTGTGGGCCACTGTTAGAGAAGTGTTCTGATATCAAGGCCATGGGATTATATTTTTAGACTTTCCATCAGTTCTTAAAATCATGTCAAATTTTAGTTTGGTTTTCTATTTGAAGCACATACTGATACTCAGTTGCTTTCCCCCCTTGTATAATTGCTTCTCCTTTTCGCCATGTGCCTTTATACAATCCTTGAACATTCCATCCTCTTAACTGTTCTGTTAGTGCTTGAGCCTACCCTTCCCCAGACACCTCTTTCTCAGAGCCCTTTACCCTCCCTCCTCCGGGCTGAATGCCCAGAGGTCAGCCCAAGACTTCACTGTACTGCTCCCCTGGTTGTAACCACTACAGTATTTCTTTTCTTTCCTTAGGGTCTCCTAATTCTTACTTTTAGTGCTGTACTGATGTGTAATATATGTACAATAAATGACACATATTTAAGTTACATAGTTTGATGTGTTTTAACATTTGTTAGACCTGCAAAACCACTGCTGTCATAAACATAATGAACATTTCCATCACCCCCAAGAGTTATTTCATGCTCTTCATCATTCCCCCATCCTCACTTCCTGCCCCTCCATACCCATCCACCAACCTATCCACAGGCAGCCACCAATCTTTCTGTCTCTGTAGATTACTTTAGATGTTCTAGACTTTTATCTAAATTGAACAAAACAGCATGTACTCTTTTTTGTCTGATTTCTTTTACCCACAATAATTATTTTGAGTATCATCCACATTTTTACACATATGAAGAGCTCATTCCTTTCTATTACTGGAGAGTATTCAATTGTATGGTTATGCCACAATTTGTTTATCTGTTAACCTGCTAATGGACACTTATTTTCCAGTTTGGGGAACATATACATCTGCTATGAATATTCTTACACAAGTTTAATGCTTCCATTTATCTTGGGTGAATAACTAGGAATGGAATGGGTGGTCATATGGTGGGTGTATGTTAACTACTAACTTTGTAAGAAACTGCCAAACGGTTTTCCAAAGTAGCTGTACCATTTCACATTCCCACCAGCAGTTTTTCAAACTGTAGGTGTTCTAACAGAGATATTGCAGTTTTAATTTGCATTGTGTCAATGATGCATTATTCTGTGCATATTTTTCATGTGCATATTTGCCGTCTGTATACCTTCTTTGGTGAAGTATCTGTTCAAATGTTTTGCCCATTTTAAAAGTGGGTTGTTTGCTTTCTTATTATTGAGATCTGATAAATAAAAATTATTACATTGTGGTAATAACACTTACCATGAGAGCTACGCTTTTAACAAATTTTTAAATGTGCGTTATTGGCTATAACTGCCACGTTGTGCCGCAGATTGTGAGACCGTATTCATCTTTCTTGGCTGCAATTTTATGCCCGTGGCCTAGTAACTCCCCATTTCCCCCTCTCCCAGCCTCTGATAATATTCACTCTTTGATTCTCTCAATCTGGCTATTATAGATATCTCATATAAGCAGAATCATACAGTATTTGCCTTTCTATAACTGGCTTATTTAACTTAGCACAACGTCCTCAAGGTTCATCAGTGCTGTTGTGTATTACATAATTTCCTTCTTTTTAAAGGCTGAATAGTATTCCACTGTCTGAATACACCACTTTTGTAAATCCATTCAGCTGTTGATAGATTTTTAGACTGTTTCCGAGTCTTAGCTATTGTGAATGGTGCAACAATAAACATAGGAGGGTTAATATCTCTTTGATATCTTGCTTTCTTTCTCTCTCTTTTTTTTTTTTTTTTTTTTTTTTTGGAAGCAGGGTCTTGTTCTGTCACCCAGGTTGGAGTGCAGTGGCACCATCATAGCTCACTGCAACCTTGACCTCCTGGGCTGGAAAGATCCTCCCACCTCAGCCTCCCAAGTAGCTGGGACTACAGGCTTATGCCATCACACCTGGCTAATTTTTTATAGAAAGAGCGTCTTGTTATGTTGCCTAGGCTGGTCTCAAACTCCTGGGCTCCAGTGATCCTCCTGCCTTGGCCTCCCAAAGTGTTGAGATTATAGGCATGAACCACCATGCCTGGCCCTGATTTTAATACTTCTGGAAACATATCCAGAAGTGGGATTGCTGGATCACATTATTATTGTCATTATTATAATTACTATTATTTGAGATAGGGTCTTACTCTGTTGCCCAGGCAGAAGTGCAGTGGTGAAATCATAGCTCACTGCCACCATGAACTCCAGGACTCAAGGGATCCTCCTGCCTCAGCCTCCCAAGTAGCTAGGACTATAGGCATGTGCCACCACACCCAGCTGATTGCTGGATCATATGGCAGTTCTATATCTAAGTTTTTGAGGAACCTCCACACTATTTTCTACAGTGGATGCATTGTTTTGCATTTCCACCAATAGTGTGTAAGGATTCCAATTTCGCTACATCTTCCTCAACACTTACTGTGTTTTATTTTTTTGATAACAGCCTTCTTGACAGATGTTAGGTAATATCTCATTGTGGTTTTGATTTTTTTTTCCCGATGATAAACCTATTGGCCATTTATAAGTCTTTGTTAGATAAATGTCTATTCAAGTCTTTAGCCCACTTTTAACATCCAGTTATCAGGTTTTTTTTTTTAACTATTGAATTGTAGAGGTTCCTTATATACTTTGGGTATTAACTCCTTATCAAATATATAGTTTGCTGACATTTTCTCTCATTCTGTAAGTCACATTTTCATTCTGTTGGCTGTTTCCTTTGCGAGTTTTGAGAGTTCTTTATATATTCTGGATACAAGTTCTTACTAGATATGTGTGATTTCCAAATACTTTCTCTAAGTCTGTGACTTCTATTTTCATTTTCTTAACATTAATAGAAATTCTTAATTTGGACAAAGTCCAATTAATCCATATTTTTTCATTTATGGATTGTGGTTTTTTTGGTGCTTTATCTAAGAAATCTTTCTCTAATTGAAAATCACAAAGGTTTTCTAGTAGTTTTACTGTTTCAGGCTTTATATTTAGGTCTATGATCAATTTTGTATTAACTTATGTAGACGGTGTGAGGTACTGATTGAAGTCTTTATTTTTATTTTTGGTAAATGGGTATCCAAATGTTCTGGCACTATTTGTTGAAAGATTATCTTTTCTCTAATGAATTATCTCTGACCTTTGTCAAAAATCAATTGACCATAATGTATGAATGAATATATTTCTGGATCCTCTATTTTGTTCCATTAATCTGTTTATTTCTCCATTTATTTAGGTTTTCTTTGAGTTCTCTCAGCAATGTTTTATAATTTTCAGTGTATTGGTATTATACATTTCTGTCATACTTATCTCTAAATATTTCATGTGTTTTGATGCTATTGTTATGTGACACGGCTTTTGAAACTTCAGTTTCAGAATGTTTGTTGCTAGTATATAGAAATATACTGATTTTTATATGGTGATTCTGCATCCTGCAATCTTGTTAAATTCCCTTATTAGTTTTAGTAGTTTTTTTTAAATAGATTGAATTGTATTTTCTAGATAGACAATTTTTTTTTTTGTAAATAAAACAGTTTTATGTCTTCTTTTGAAATCTGGGTGTCTTTTATTTATTTTTCTTTCTTGTTATATTGGCTATACTTATAATCCTAAATAGAATTAGTGAGAGCAGACATCCTTGCCTTATTCTTGATCTCAGGAGGAAGGTATTCAGTCATTTACTACTCAGTTTGATGTTAGCTCTAGGTTTCAAATAGATAACCATTATTCAGTTGAGAAAGTTCCCTTCTATCCTGAACTTGCTGACAGTGTTCATCAGGAATGGATGTCAGACAATTTTTCTGTTACTACTGACATATTTTTCTTTTGCGTCTTATATGTAAACTACAGTGAGTTTTTAATGTTAAATTAATATTATATTCTTGGTTTAAATATTATCCTTTCTATATAGCAATGGATTTGATTTATTAATATTTTGTTATGAATATTTTCATCTATGTTCATGAAGGATATTGGTCTTTTTTTTTTTTTTTCCCTGTAATGTCTCTGTCTGGCTTTGGTATCAGAATAACACTAGCCTCTAGAATGATTTGGGAATTAGCCTCATCTCATTTTCTGGAAGAGCCTGTGTAGATTTTGTATTATTCCTTCCTTAAATATTTGGGAGAATTCCCTAGTGAAGGCATCTGGGCCTGGAGGTTTCTTTGTGGGAAAGTTTTCAACCAAAAATTCAATTTCTTTAACAAATATAAAGCTATTTTGGTTATTCATCTCCTCTTAAATAATATTTCACAGTTTGTGCCTTTTAATGAATTTGCATATTTAACCTAAGTCATCAAATCTACTGGCATAAAGTTTTTCAAAATATTCACTTCTTACCTTTTTAAAATCTGTAGAATATGTAGTAATGTCACCTTTCTCATTCCTGACATTGGTAATTTGTGCCTTTTGCATTTTTTCCTGAACAGTTAGGTTACAGGTCTACCAATTTTATTGATCTTCTCAAAGAGCCAGTTTTTCTCAATTGTTTTTCTGCTATTTCATTGATTTTCTTTTCTTTGAGATGGAGTCTTACTCTTTTGCCCAGGTTGGAGTGCAGTGGCATGATCTCAGCTCACTGCAACCTCTTAACCTCTTCCACCTGGGTTCAAGCAATTCTCCCATCTCAGCTTCCCGAGTAGCTGGGATTATAGGCATGCACCACCATGTCTGGCTAATTTTTTGTACTTTTACTAGAGATGGGGTTTTGCCATGTTGTTCTCGAACTCCTGACCTCAAGTGACCTGCTGGCCTTGGCCTCCCAAAGTGCTGGGATTATAGGCCTGAGCCTTTGGGCCCAGACTATTCAACTGACTTAAATTTGACCTTTATTATTTCTTTTTCTTGCTTAGTTGCTTTCATCTGCTCTCCTTTTTCTAGTTTCATAATGGGGTAGCTTAGGACATTAACTTGAAACATTTCATGTTTTCTTTTCTTTTCTTTTTTTTTTGAGATAGAGTTTCACTCTTGTTACCCAGCCTGGAGTGCAATGGCGTGATCTTGGCTCACCGCAACTTCGCCTCCTGGGTTCAAGCAATTCTCCTGCCTCAGCCTCCCAAGTAGCTGGGACTACAGGCGTGCGCCACCATGCCCAGCTAATTTTTGTATTTTTAGTAGAGACAGGGTTTCACCATGTTGACTGGGGTGGTCTCGATCTCTTGACCGTGTGATCCACCCGCCTCGGCCTCCCAAAGTGCTGGGATTACAGGTGTGAGCCACCACACCTGGTTCATCTTTTCTAATGTAGATATGCAGTGCTACAAATTTCCCACAGATTTTTTGTTTGTTTTCATTTTCATTCACTTAAAAATACTTTGTAGTTTCTTTTTAAATTTCTTCTTTGGCCTATATGTACACAGTATAGATGTTTGGAAAAGATCATACAATTAATTTCCTTAAAGGTGCAGGAATTGCTACAAGGCACAATCATTGATATTCTCCAATAAATAAAGTCGGGCAAGCAATTTTAAAAGTCAGATATTGTTCAACACTTGAAATTCCAAAGAGAAAAAAATATTCCCAGTGAATGCTCTGTTTCTTATAGAGTAAGTGCTGAAATAAAGGAACCCAGAAAACAAGGCTTCTTCTGCCAGTTGTCACTTACAAAAACATACAGTGGATCATAATCTAGGGACATGGCTAAGGCCTCAGGTGGTTTCATGCTCAAGATTGAGGTCTTGTCAGAGAGCTGAGGTGTAGAGTCCTGTTTTGGAAGGGCTATGATGGTGGTGACTTCATCCTAAAAAGAGCCAAGGGCAGCACGTTAGTTTTTATGCTAGGATAAGAGGGAAAAGATGAGAGCGATTCTGGAAAGTGAGGATGTGTTACCTCAGCTCCTTGCCTTAGGGCTCGGGCAAGCTTTTGAGGTCTGTAACTTGTTGAAGACTTGTGGACAGAGAACGGCTGATATCTCTTAATTTTGTACAGTTGAGGAACCTGAAGGTGAAAGAAGATTGAAAATCCTTAAAAACCTGTTGCCATTTGGTGGGATCTACTTCTCAACAACAGCATTTCTGAGCTTCCTGGTGGTAAAAGTAAGAAAAGCACCATGTTGCAGTCATTGAATTGTGGCTGTTGTTAGTTTGGACCAGCACTGGACAGACTTTAGGGCAAGTCTCGAGCCCTGTTCTGGGTTTCAGTACATGTGAGTGTTCATGATGACTCAACCATCCTCATGGCTTCAGTGTAGAAGTACACCAAAATATTTTCATTTTCAAAACCGAAGTGGTCATATACCTCAAGAAAGGCTGACTAATTTTTGCTCACTTTATCTTGTATTTTTTCTTGAAGTTTCTAATATATGTAGTTCAGGTAGCTTCATATATACATGATATAGGTATATCCACAGAGTAGATATCCTGGTTTGCATAAGCAATACTATGAGAAAAGAATCTGCTGTACCTCCCATATGCCATGCAGTAACAGCAGAGTATGCTACACAGTGTAATCTATAATAAAACAAAACTATAAAATGCTAGCAATACAAATTCAAGAATATTTTGTTTACTTAAGAAACTCAATTAATTCTATGTGACAGGTCTGACCTGCAGATTGAAGAAGGAATAACTCTGCTTGATTTGAACTTCTGAAGACTTAACTGGAACCAGTCCAAGGCCATCAGGAGCCTAAAATGTGAAAGAAGAAAAAAGAACAAAGACTCAACACTGAGCAGGAGTGGCTATGCTTGTTTCTATTACATTTTGAAACATTAAATGACCACTTCGACTCTCAGAGCAACTCCTCCTGCAACCGCAGTTGCCAGTTGATCTGTAGGGCAGAAAGGCAGCCCTGGCCACCCCCTCTTCCGTGTCTTCTAGTGGTTGTCAGTCTTTTTTATTTTCTATGGTTCTGGAGACTACAATGTGTCACCCAGAAGCTTCTTCAGGCTTGAAAGACTCAGCCCCCAAGCTGCCAGCAGTTTAGGGACAGACACACCTCTGTGGGGCAGGGGAGCCCTCTTCAGGGGCTGCCTCATTTGAAGGGAGCTGCCTCAGTCAGGATCAAGTGCTCCTCCCAGGCAGCTCACCTCCATCGAGGGTTGAAGACACGGGAAACATGCTGTGTCCTCTCACCCTATGCTAGCTTCAGCGTTCTGACAGGCCCAGCTGAGGCCTTTGTTGAGGTGGACCCAGTCCTACTTCTTTCTCCACACAATCCTGTCCCCTCAGCTTGCCTTCCACAGGTGTTAACCCCCAAAGTGCTACCAGATACACTTCCTGCATGGTAGTCTGCCTCAGACACCCAGAGGATCTGGATGGTGCCTGAATATGATGGGCACTCCAAAAATAACATATAACCCCTAATCTAATATACAATCACTGAATTAATATGATGAAACATTAATATGCCACGATGATACCATTTCCCAATTTCTAGATGCTAAATGTAAAAAAAAAGCATGTTAGAACTGATGAAACACAGTATTTATGAGATAAATTAATAGATTCCTTTTTATAGACAGGAATGCTAAGTGCTCTATTTTTCAACAACCCTGAGCTGCAGAGAAGTCTTTGTAGCACTAGCTAAAATATCAAATGAAATATGTCACCTTCAAACTATTAAAAAATAATGAGGGGGGCTCCACTGCATGGTGAGGATCCCTTTCCACTCCATCAACCTCTTCACCCCATTAATTATCAAGTATCAGACATTTATTGCTGCTTGAAAATCACTGGTTTTTTATTTCTTAGGAACTCATTATTCTGCTCTAAATCACACAAGTATCAAAAGCAGAAAACATAAGGAATTTCTAAATTCAGTCCTATAATTCTTGAGTAAATTACCTGCAATCCTTAACAAATACTTTGGAATGTGAATGACAAGTTTATCCTTTGAAATTAACAGAATATTTTTTGCACATGCACTTGCAATATTGATTTAAGTATACTTTTTATTACTAACGATGTGAACTCGAGTAACATTTTATTACTGGCCATGTGAATGTGTGCCTCAGTTTCCTCATCTGTAAAATGGCAAATCTATTACGTAGATTTGTTGAAGATTAAATGAGGTGGTACACTTGAAGGCCTTAAGACACTGGCTTAACGTATGGTAAATACAACATAAGGTTAACTATCAGTATGCAGTAAATTTTAATCATGCACCATTGTGCCCACAAGGGAAGAAGGATGAGCTATTATACCTCCTGCTACCCCAAGAAAGACACACACACACCCCAGAGAGAAAGAGAAGGAAAGAGAAGTGGATTGTGAGTCTGATGGGTTAGATTGTCAATTTCTGGGGTCACAGTCCCTTCTTATGATGTTAGACCCAGACTTGAGGGCTGCCTTTCTCTGTTCCCTGACTTCCACCATCTGCCCAAGCAGCAGAAGGGCCCAGCTGAGCAGAGCCTGTCTCCCTGGGCCGGGTGGGGCCCTGTTGGTTCCTCTCTCTGACCTTCTGCTCTCAGGCCCAGTTCCAGGGCAGTTAAGTGGGTGGGGGGGTGCGGAGAGGGAGGGAGGGGTTCAGTGCTCATGTTGGATTTCGGTCTGGGAAGGATCCAGCCCAGGTTACAAGGGAGCTCTGTGCAGGTATATCAGGAGCAAGGCAGACGGTAAGAGATGATCACGGGTTTCCCACTGGTCATACTTTCCTGGTCTTCCTTTGGAGCCTCTGGGAGGAGGTGAAGGGATTGAGACTGAGATGGGGCTTGCCTTATATCTGCCCAACACGACCATGATCCTGCCCACTTCCTGCCACCAAGCCTGACAGCACCTACCAACTCGTTGGAATCCTGGGGTGGGCTGCAGTCTGGGAAAGCGAAGGGCAGCACCTCCTCGGGCGACACAGAGAACCGGGTGGTATAATCATCCTGACTGATTTGCCGCAGGAAGAATTTGAAGAAATTTGTCTCTATTGGTAAAAAGAAAACCCAGCACTTTTAGGGGGTACTAAAGATATTTTTACGGGAAATCACCATCTGTTTTGCATATTTGCTATATACCAATCAGTTGGTGTGTGCATGTTTATATATGCATATATTTCCACTTTTAGTGTTTCCTTGGTTCCTTACCTCAACCTCTTTTCCAGTTAAAAAGATTTTATCTTTATTTCCAAAAAATTATAATTCGTCATTAAAATATCTCTGATGAATTAAGCAAAGAAAAAGATTAAAAAAGTAAATGAAGACATTTTCTATACGTCCCTACACAATTCACAGGTAAATTTTACAGTGTTTTAGAAAAAAAAAAGTTTCTTTATTAGAAACTTCAACACCAGAGATAAAAATAATATAGGATGAAGAAAGAGAATTATCATTATGTTATACAATGTTTTGAAAAACAAAAATACACATTTGGGTCTCAGTGGAGCAGCAGATGGGAATGTGGTTGCTGCCCAGGGAGGATGGTGAAGGCTGAACCAGGCTCTGAGGCTCAGGCCAGGAAGGGAGGAAGAGTCTGGAAAGATCAGGGTTGCTCGAGGGCTGGCATACAAACTGTGGTTGAGAATACATGTATTGGGAGAAGTTGATGACATGGTGTTTGGGTCCCAGAAGCTACCAAGCATGGGTCTCCAACAGTCCCAGCCAAGCTGGGCATCAGAGGATTGGAATTTCTTTGCTTTTTTTTGTTTGTTTGTTTTATGAGAGACAGGGTCTTGCTCTATCACCTGGGCTTGAGTGCAGTGGTGCGATCATAGCTTACTATAACCTTGAACTCCTGGGTTTAACCAGTCCTCCCACCTCAGCTTCCTGAGTAGCTGGGACTACAGGCATATGCCACTAGTCCTGGATAATTTTTAATTATCCAGGGGGTCTCTGTGTTGCCCAGGCTTGTCTCGAACTCCTGGGCTCAAGTGATCCTCCCACCTTGGCCTCCCAAAGTGTTGGGATTACTGGCGTGAGCTACGGTCACCGCAGTGGCCAGCATGGAAATCTCCGTAAGTAGCAAAGACAATACAAGATTAAGAGGCTTAATGTGCAAATTCTAGGCTGAGAAAATACCAAATTCATCTGGTCCATCAGCAAGTATAAATGATGACTACCCTAGTCTCTGGTGACAAGAAGAAGCTGAGGGCACAAAACAGGAGGTCAAGCCACAGCCAAACTTCACAGACATTACAACTTGGTTTGGGGTCAGGTGACCTTGTTCATTATCAACTGGGTAGGTATTTCAGCCAAACCTGGCATGGAGATTCACTTTATATCATGAGATAGGCTGAATAATGGCACTCAGAGGTGTCTACATCCCACTCCCAGGAGCCTGTGAATGTGTTACCTTCCATGGTAAAAGGAATTCCGCAGATGGGCTCTGTAATGGGGGATTATTCTGCACTAGACAGGTGGGCCTTATCTAATCAGAGTCTGCATAAAAAGAAATAGGGGGTGGGTCAGAATCACATAAGGAGATGTGAGGACGGAAGCAAGAGGTCATGTGGGCAAGGGACCAGGAGACAAGGAATGCAGTTGGATACCAGGATCTGGAAAAGGCAAGGACATGGGCTCCCCTGAAGCCCCCAGGGGAGAGCTCAGCCCTCCCAACACCTTGATTTTAGACTTCTGACCTCTAGAACTGTAAGATGATAAATTCGTGTTGTTTTAAGCCATTAAGTTTAAAAGGCTTAATGCACAAATGGTAGGTTGAGAAAATACCAGGCTCAGCCAGTCAATCAGCAAGTATAAATCATAACTACTATAGTCTCTGGTGACAAGAGAAAGCAGAGGGTACAAGTGATTTGTTATAGCCGTGATAGGAAACTAATACGTGTGCTGGTGAAAATTTCATATTTGCATAGAGCTAACTTCATTCTAAGGAGAGCTCACGCTCAGAGGCATGATCAGTCTCAGCATCGCTGTGCTTCGCAGCCGCACTTCACCTTGTGCCATTGATTGTTTTGCTTGGCCAATCTTTCTCCGGACACTCTCTTTGTCCATTTCACGAACAGCACTCAGCATATTGAATAATCGTCCCTGAATCATGACCTGAAATTGGAGCGAATAATGATTTCAGATTATTAATCAACACATGCTCATTTTGACAGTCAACCTAATCCACTTCACCCAACCACACTAACAGCTGAGACTCCCACCGTAAGTCAGAATTCACAGGGATCTTGGCATGCTACTCTCCCTAGTCTGCGGCCACAGGGACTTCAAGGTCTGAGCAATACTGACTTGCCTGATTACAAAAAAGACCAAGTTGTTATCTGGCCTTGTCCCAGCCAATTTATGAGCCTTGATTTTCTCCGATTTCCAGTTTGGAAATAATGTCTGGCTCTATGTTCTTTCTTCTGGATATATCTGAATAGTAATGCTACCACTGTGCTATTTTCAGAGTTGAAGGACAGACGGCATGGGTGATTCTGTAGCAATAACACTGTGGGTTACAGTGATGCTAACTACACACCTCTGAGCTTTGCCTTCAGAGCAGATGCTGCTGCAGCTGAATGCTACCTGAGCCCAGAGCTGCGGCTGAGGGGATTGTTATTCCATAATTTACATTGTTTTCCATTCTGTAAATGACTCTTTCAATTAAAAAGTGGCTACTCAGTGCCCTGTCCTGTGCACTGGAAATACAGTGAGGAGCAAATAAATGTCTACACAGAGCTGATATTCCAAGTGTGTGTAGTGGGTGGAGTGGGATGACAATAAACACCAAGACAAAAAACCATGATAAATACCCTGAAGAAAATAAGAGGGTAAGTGCCTGAGGCCATGACTGGCTGGCTGTCTTATGCAAGGATAATGATGGAAGGCCTCTGCCGAGTTTGAATGATGACAGGACAACGATGGAAAGATGTTGGCAAGAGAGTTCTCAGCAGAGGAGAGAGCCAGTGCAGAGGTCCTGATGCCGGAACAAAGGAGACACGTTTAAGGGACAGAGAGAAATCCATGCGGTCTGGTAGTGTTGATAAAAATTGTGTATTTTATTCTAACTGTTACAGAACATCTTTCGAGGGTTTCAGTAGGGGAGAGGCACTGTCATCTTTTAGCTCTGCAAATACAACTTTGGCTGCCATGTGGCTCTAAATGTAGGGAGACCTGTGGCCATGGTCCAGGTGAGAGATGGTGGGAGCCTGGTCTGTGGCTGCAGTTGAGGAGATTAGGCAAGGCATCAGTCTGGGGACACACTGGCACATAGAACTGACAGGCCTTGCTGTGGCATGTGAGGAACAGTGTGAGCCATCACTCAGAACAAAGTCCATCATTGCTGACAGCCTTTTTCGGGAGGGAAGGCTCGAAGCAGAAGGACCAAGGTGGTTCCATTAGCAACAAGCCAGCCTGGCCAGTCTCTTGCTGTTGCCTATTGTCAATGGCTGTGCTTTTCTCCCTGGGAGCACAGCTTTGTGCTGCCTCTTACCACTATCCTCCCTGCCCTGAGCCTGTTGTGGTGGTCCCTACTTGCACATATGCAGAGACCACCCAGGGAAAGCCTCACCAGGGACACTGGCTTTTGGGCCTTGGAGGCTGGGGGGTAAGTGAGGGACACGGGCCTTGGAGGCTGGTGAGTAGGTCCCTCAGGCAGTGAGCTCTGCCTCCCTCTACCTAGACTGTTGCCAGTCTAGGCTGAGAAGATTGCATGAAAGATAAGCTGTAACACAAACATCTGGAGTCTCTTAAACATACTCATTCATTTGATCCTCACAACAACCCTGTGAGACAGGTCTCATTATTCTCCTCAGCATTCAGGTGAGGAAACTAAGGCACTGTAGTTATGTAAATTGCCCAGGATCAGAAAGTGCACGGAAGCAGCACCAGGAATTAGAGCAGGCACTCTGCTCCACAGCCCAGGCTTTATCCACTGCTCTCACTGGCTTCAGGTGTGGCCCTGCCCACCAGGGAAGCCACACACGAGTGACAGAGATGAGAGACTTACAGGCAGCATACGAAGCACATGGCACCACGGAGATCCCTAAGTACTAAAGTGTGCAAGGACAGCCTCTTGCAGGAAAAGTGGACTCAGGATGGCTCAAGGACAGGTGCGAGCCCATGGAGCAGAGTTGGGGAAGCACTGTAGTCAGAGCTGAGAGCAGATTCACAGGATAGTAGCAGGGAATGAGCACGACTTGTGTGGCAGACCAGACAGGGACAATGAAAGGACAAGGACAGCTAGAGGAGTGTGGCTGCAGCCAGACCAGGGGTCACATGACACCCTTTACTGGCATGAGAGGATCAGAAGTCTTGGTTTTATCTTGTTAACAGGAAGCCACTGGAGGACCAGTATGAGGTGGGGAAGCCACAGAAGGAGATGACACCTCTGAAAGGTAGGCATTAGCCTGGATGCTGGAGGCAGGATCTCTCAGACATTCTCCATTGTTCTCCCTAGAAGTAACCGATCAATATCCCATTGTTACTCATAATAGCCAAGTGGTGAAAACAGCTGAAACTTTCATCAACTGATGAATGAAGAAAATATGATCTATCCATGCAATCAAATACTATTCAGCCATAAAAAGGAACGAAGTATTGATACATGCTAAAACATGTACAAGCCTAGGAAATAAGTTATATAAAAGAAGCAGTTGCCAAAAGCCATGTCTTGACTGTTTAAGGTGATGGATAGGATAATTATATTGATTTGATCCTTATACAATGTATACATGCATTGGAACATCACACTGTGCCCCATAAATATGTACAAATATTATGTGTCAATTATAAATTTAAAAATTGAATTTTTAAAAGGCTGCATATTGTATGATTCCATTTATATGAAATGCCAAGAAAAGGCAAATCCATAGAGACAGAAAGTAAATTATTGGTTGCCAGGAGGGTGTGGGGAGTGCCTGAAAATGGGCATCAAATTTCCTTTTGAGGTGATAAAAATGTTCTAAAATTAGATAGGGATGATGGCTGCCAAGCTCTATAAATGTACTAAAAACGACTGAACTGTATACTTTACAAGGGTAAATTTTATGGCATGTAAATTGTATCTCAATAAAATGTTATCAAACCACCATTGCTTGATTTCCTTATGCTGATGAGCAAACAAATCAACATTTCCAACTGGTGTTGAGACTTACCTTGCGTGCTACTTGTTGAAAGCGTCTTTGTGCCCTGGATCTGCTGAGCCAAGTGTTATTAATGAGTGGATCAAAATTAGGATGAAATTCCTTGATTTTCTGTGAATATAAAATATAGGCACATTTTACATTTAAATTTTAACTCTTGTCATAAACATTTAATAAAAACTTTTTAGAGTTTGATCCCAAATTGTTATTTATTTGTTGTATTACTTAGCGAGCATTTATTTATTAAACACTTTTAGTGTACACAGCATTACAAGGAACACTTCTTGAGTTGGAGGCCAAAAGTGAAAGATAAGATTAGGGTTTTAAGAAACTTACAGTCTAGTTAGTAATGCTCAAGCAAACACATGTGACTTTGAGAAATAATAAAGTCACCAATCCCATGTGGTGGTGCTGACAGTGCATCCAGAATTGAGAGGTGTGGGCTGTGAGATCCCCTGGCTGGGAAGAAGGACTGCTTTACTCAGCCCTGCATGCCTAGTGCTGACACATGTATTGTCCCACATGTGCCTGCATGTCCTGGGCACCAGTGTGTCTAAATTAGTAAATGAATAAGGAGGAAAGAGAGGCTGGGGGTATAGTGAGGCTGGCCAGAGCCTGAGGTTCAGTCTCTGTAGGTTTTTGAATAAGGAAATGATATATAAAAAAGCCATCAGAAGGGAATCAGTCTTACTTTGGCATATGCCATGAGCTGCAGAGGAGAGAAAAGAGGAGCAGGCACACAGGCAGAAAAACCTGTTGGATTAGTCATGGGAGATACCTGAAGGCTGGACTCTGGTATGGCCCATGGAAGAGCTATTGGCAAGACTTTGTGGCCAAAAGAAATGTGATGAGGAGGAGGATAGGGATAAATGAGGTAAAAATAAAGATATGGCAAAACCAGCAGAGAAAAGTGAGAATGATGGAGGTGGGAGATTAGAAATAATTTTTTCATTGTTAAAATTAAAAGTTAAGGTTTTAACAAGTGATATGGTTTGGCTGTGTCCCCATCCAAATCTCATCTTGAATTGTAGTTCTCATAATCAACATGTGTTGTGAGAGGGACTAGAGATAATTGAATCATGGGGGCAGTTTCCCCCATTCTGTTCTCATAACAGTGAGTTAGTTCTCAAGAGATCTGATGGTTTTTGTCAGGGGCTTCTCCCTTTGCTCAGTTCTCATTCTTCTCACTCCCACATTGTTTGCATCCCTTTCTGCTATAATTTGGTAAGTTTCCTGAGGCCTTCCTGGCCATGTGGAACTGTGAGACAATTAAACCTCTTTCCTTTATAAATTACCCAGCCATAGATATTTCGTTATAGCAGAGTAAAAATGAAGTAATACAGTAAATCGGTACCAGAAGTGGGGTGTTACTATAGAGATACTAAAAAATGTGGAAGCAACTTTGGAACTAGGTAACAGGCAGAGGTGGTTGGAACAGTTTGCAGGGCTCAGAAGAAGACAGGAAAATGTGAGAAACTTTGGAACTTCCTTGAGACTTGTTGAATGGTTTTGCCCAAAATGCTGATTATGATATGGACAATGAAGTCCAGACTGATGTGGTCTCAGGTGGAGATGAGGAACGCTGGGAACTAGAATGAAGGTGACTCTTGCTTTGTTTTAGCAAAGAGACTGGGGGCATTTTGTCCCTGCCCTAGATATCTGTGGAGCTTTGAACTTGAGAGAGATGATATAGGGTATCTGGCAGTAATTTCTAAATAGCAAAGTGTTCAGGATGTGACTTGGGTGCTGTCAAAAGCATTCAGTTTTATGTATTTGCAAGATATGGTTTGGAACTGGAACTTATGCTTAAAAGGGAAGCAAAGCATATAAGTTTGAATTGAAATTGAAAAATTTTGCAGCCTGATAATGTCATATTAAAAAAAAAAACCCTCATTTTCTGAGAAGAAATTCAAGCCGGCTACAGAAATTTGCATAAGTAATGAGGAACCAATGTTAATTGCCAAGACAATGGGAAAAATGTCTCCAGGGCATGTCAGAAGTCTTCATACCAGCCCCTCCCACTATAGGTCTGGAGACCTAGGAGAAAAAAATGTTTTGTGGGCCAGACCCAGGGCCTTGATGCTTTGTGCAGTCTTGGGACTCAGTGCCCTGCAGCCCAGCCATAGCTAAAACGGGCCAATGTACAGCTCAGGCCATGGTTGCAGAGGGTGAAAGCCTCAAGCCTTGGCAGCTTTCACATGGTGTTAAGCCTGTGGGTGCACAGAAATCCAGAAGTGAGGTTTGGAAAACTCTGCCTAAATTTCTGAGGATGTATGGAAACAGTTGGATGTCCAGGCAGAAGTTCAGAGCAGGGGTGAAGCCCTCATGGAGAACCTCTACTAGAGCAGTACAAAGGGAAATGTAGGGTTGGACCCCCCACACAGAGTCCCCACTGGGGCACTGCCTAGTGGAGCTATGAGAAGAGGGCTGCTACCCTCCAGATCCCAGAATGGTAGGTCCACTGACAGCTTGCACGGAGTACTTGGAAAAGCCACAGACACTCAATGCCAGCCTGAGAAAGTAGCTGGGAGGGAGGCTGTACCCTGCAAAGCCACAGGAGCAAAGCAGCCCAAGGCTATGGGGGCCCACCTGCCCACCTTGTGCACCAGCATGACCTGGATGTGAGACATGGAGTCAAAGGAGATCATTTCAGATCTTTAAGGTTTAATGACTGCCCTCTTGAATTTCTGACTTGCGTGGGGCCTGTAGCCCCTTTGTTTTGGCCAATTTCTCCCATTTGGGATGGGTATATTTATCCATTGCCTGTACCCGCAATGTTTCTAAAAGTAACCAACTTGCTTTTGATTTTACAGGCTCATAGATGCTCTCTAAGATCTCTTCCTGGTCAGATATGCTAAGATTCTATGTCCAGGCATAGGTTGAAGGGCCTTGCCTTGTCTCAGACTTTGGACTGAGGCTGAGTTATGCTGGAGTAAGTTAAGACTTCGGGGGACTGCTGGACGGACATGATTGTATTTTGAACTGTGAGGACATGAGATTTGAAGGAACAGTGGTGAACAATATGGTTTGGCTCTGTCCCCAACCAAATCTCATCTTGAATTGTAGTTCCCATAATGCCCACACGTCATGGGAGGGACCAGGTGGAGATAATTGAATCATCTTATAAAACCATTAGATCTTGTGTAAACTGACTCACTAACTCATTATCTCCTGTTCTCATGACAGTGAGTGAGTTTTTGCAAGATCTAATAGTTTTATAAGAGGCTTCCTTCTTGGGTTGGTTTTTATTCTTCTCATTCCTGCCACCATGTAAAGAAGAATGTCCTCTTCTGCCATGATTATAAGTTTCCTGAGGCCTCTCCAGCCATTCAGAACTGCGAGTCAATTAAGCCTCTTTCCTTTATAAATTATCAAGCCTTGGGTGTTTCTTCCTAGCAGTGTAAAAATGAACTAGTATTACAAGACAGAGATAATCGGGTGGATGGGAACACTACTCATTTTACATTTGAGCACACTAAGGCACCACAGTCAAGAGGCTTGCCAAGGTCCCCTATCTGTCATAGAGCTGGAACTAGAACTCTGGCTTCTTACTTCTGATTTTGTATCTTTTCTACCAAGGGAGGGGGGACAATGAACAGCGGCCCAGGGACCCACCTTGAGGACCTGTGGACAGGGGCTTAGAGAATGAAGGGAAACAAAAAGGGAGACCCAAAATGAGAAAGTAGAGGGATGAAAAGGAGTTGCCAAAGTGCAATGCTGTTCATTTCAAGAGAAACATGAATTACAAGTTTTGATGGTTTACTTGCAAAAACGTGGTAAAAAACACTTTGAAATGTATGCAAATTAAAAAGTATTAAATATCTCTTGGTAAAGGATTTATATAAAATTGTTTAGCATTAAAAAAATAAGCATTTAAAGAGCTGCCAATAATCAGATTCTAAATAAAGGAAAGTTACCCACCTCTTCTCGATTGCGAATGATCCGTTTCTGGCTAACTTCTGTTTTAAGTCGCTGAAATTCCTCATCCAAAATAGGATCTCCTCTATCTAGCTGGTTTTTTAATCATCAAAATAATTTAAATTGAATATAAATGCATAAAACTTTGTCTTTAAAACTTGTAGAACCCCATTAAGCAATTCGATAAATACACCCGTGATGTTCCCATTGAAAGTGGTGAAACACAAGTAGGTAAAAAAGATTATATGATCACACTGTTTAAACACAGGGAGCTCTGATTGAAGCGCAGACTCAATACCTTTTTTTTTTTTATAACTAAAAGACAGTGTTTTTGGAAATTATTTCTAAGACACTTAACATTCATAGAAAGAATTTTAAGAAACTGTGTAACTATGGCGGTATACAGATTTCATCAAAAAGACATTTAATGTCCCAGTAAAGTCTTAAGCTCCTCACAGTTGATTATTCAGGCATCAGGTTTTAAGGAAGGAATGTGGGGATTCCTCCCTTCTCCTGGGTAGTGGAAGCTGACAGGTCTTCCTGGGCCAGAAAACGACCTGTGGCTCCCCAGATGTGAGTGACCCCAGGCCTCTCCCCTTGTTTCACCTGCCTGCTTCCCTGATGGTGCCTAGGTCATTTTTCTTATTCCCAGGATTCAACAGTGACTCCTGAGGTAGGCTGGCTGGGCTGGGGTCAGTGTCTATACATGCCTGCCCATGTGGGAAAGGGAACTTGCATATTCTGCACATGGTATTAGTTTCTGCTTATCTGTGTGTTCTATTATTTGTTTGTTGGGTAACTTCAAAAACCAGCTTGGTTTGAATTTAAAAAATGATTTAATTGGAAATCTATTCTGATCATCACATTAATACCCTATTCAGAAATAAGAGAAGTGTGTTATTCTCACCAGGGTGGTGAGCTGCCTAGCTCTGGTTGGCACTTATTGGGAAGTTGAGTTTGAGACTGTGCACATGAAGTTCAAAAGACAGATTTCATGGGAAGCCCCAGATCCCCACCAGCATTAAGAGTAAAATAAAATAGGCAATTTAAAGAAGGGACTGGCAAATAGGTCATTAGCTAGAATAATGACAAGGGAGATTTATTATATCTTTATTAAGACATTGCTTATTTGACGATGAGTAAAAGCTCATCATCCTTGAGGGCTGTGCCACTCTGAGGCCAACTCCCTCCTTCCCCAACCATTTCTTCCCTTTGTTTCTGCCATGTGCCTGGGGCCTCCAGGAGTTCCTTGCCACTGGGTCGCCTGCCAGGACTCAGCTCTCATATGAAATCCCCTGGACACACAGAATGGAGTCCCTGAGATGCTTGGTCTCCCATATTCCAGGGAGTCTGGGCTACCTGTTCATCCTCCTTGCCCCAGGAGCCATGCTAAGGATGGGACTGCTCCTTGGCTGTCACTGCCCGCAGCCACAGCCTCAATGTCCACAATGACTGATCTGGGGATGTCTGTGCCAACTTCACCTTTAAAAAGGTTAGAAAACAGCATTCCATTGTGGGGTTGACAGAAAATGCTTGATATTTTGTTTTTAAGAGAGCATGCAAAGAATCTGAACACACAGAACTAAATTTAAATGCCAATTTAGTATCTGCTTTTTTTCTAAATGCAAAGATTTACCAATGTAATGATTTTATATTTTTTGTTTGTCTTATGAAAAATAAAGAAAAATAAGAAAAATTTAAATTTATTTAAATATCTAGGTGGACTCCAAATCTAGAAAGAGAAGTATATTCTCTACGAGAAACATATTCATATCTAACAAGAAACACTTTTCGTCAATCCCTCCCACCCACTGCTGTGAAGTCAATCTACATGAATCTCGCATTCCCTAGCTCAAACATCTGTGTTACAGGTTGAATTGTGTTCCTTCAAAATTCTTACGTTGAAGCCTTAACCCCTAGAACTCAACATGTGATGGTATTTAGAAATGGAGTCTTTAAAGAAGTGACCAAGTTAAAATGAGGCTGTCAGAGTGGGTCTTAATCCAGTATGACTGGTGTCCTTATAACAGAGAAGATTAGCATGGACACAGAGGAAGACCACATGAAGATGTGAGGAGAAGGGGGCCACTGATAAGCCAAGGAGAGAGGTCAGGAACAGATCCTTCACTGATGGCTCTAGGAAAGAATCTACCATGCTGGATCTTGTATCTATGAGAAAATTAATTTCTGTTGTGTTAAGTCACACAGTCTGTGTGATACTTTGTTACGGCAGCCTGAGCCAACTAATACAATATGTGATCATTCTGTAAGTCCCACCAATTAAATTTAGACACAGAGCACTAGCCGACTCCTGTCTCCTCTGGCCCATGTGTATCCTGTGTTTTAGCCACTATGGACTTGTCCTCAGTGTTCTCTGCACCTGCTGTGTAGGTAACAACCATCTTCAAAGCATGGCGAGGCCATGGGTGTCGCAGAGTCCCACAGTTACATCCCTGGACCTACAGGTGCTACCTTGGCACCCCAGGTGTGGCCCCACTCCCCTCAGCCCAGTTTCTTTTTCTGCATAGCCCCTTTGAGGATCTCTGACTTGGGATTGTCATTTGCATCTGTCTCTGATGTGGCTCCTGGTTACCAACTTTGGGTCTCTTTTGTCTTCATGCTCTGGAGATCATGGGACAGGGGACCCCAACTCAAAATTCCAGCTCGAATTTGAGCCATTCCCTCCATGTGAATGCCTTTGTCCTCTTTGCTACTTTTCAAAAACTTATATGATATCTCCTAGGAAGCATTCCAATCAGATGAGTTCTCTCTACTTTCTGGCTTCTGAATCCTTACAATACTTAGTATAGGTCTCTGGTGACATTTATAGCCAGTCTTGATTTATGGTTGACAATTTACTTGTCATCAGCCTTTCCCATTCCCAATTTAACTGTGGGTTTTCTTCCACCTGGCATCTTGCATATAGTAGGAATTTAAAAACATCTAGTGAAACAAAAGATAGCAAATTAGCAGTAACTCTGACCTTATATTTGGAGCATGCTCTTTGCCACTCCTCAGTAAGCTCTTTTTTAAGTTTAAAAGACATAGGATCTTTACCAAGGTGCACCTGCCTGGGGAAGAAAAAAACAGTGTCCAGAACCCATCAGAATACCAGAGTCAACTTTAGGATGGAACATCTTCACTATATTCCACAACTGAAAAGGAACACTGAGATGCTGGAGAGAGAACACATGGGAGAGAGAAGTTACAGAGGCTTCAGCAACGTAACAAAGATGAATAATGTGTTCTACAAAGTGAAGCTTATTTTAAATATTTATGAATAACAACATCTGGATGCTTAACTTCCTAAATCATTAGGGAAATACAAATCAAAGCCACAACAATACACCCCTTTACACCCCCTGGGACGGCAATGATGGTGATGATGGTAATAATGGAAAATAACAGGTATTGCAGAGCAAGTGGAGAAACCGTAACCCTCAGATATTGCTGGTGGGAATGTAAAATGGTTCAGGCACCACAGAAAACAGTTTGGTGGTGCCACAAAAAGTTAAACATAGAGTTACCATATGACTCAGCAATTCCACTCCTAGGTATATACCTAAGAGAACTGAAAAGATATGGTCACATAAAAAAAGTGCATATAAACGTTGGTAGCAGCATTATTCACAATAGTCAAAAAGTGGGGAACTACTGAAATATCCACTAATTGATGAATGAATAGGCAAAATGTTGCAATCCATTCAATGGGATATTATTCAGCCATAAAAAGGAATGCAGTACTAACACATGCTATGACATGGATGCATCTTCAAATCATGTTAAGTGGAAGAAGTCAGTCACAAAAGGCCATGTATTATGTGATTCCCTTTATGTGAAATGTCCAGAGTGGGCAAATCCGTAGAGACTGAAAGTAGATTAGTGGTTGCCAGGAGCTCCAGGGAGTGGGGAATGGGGAGTGACTGATAGTGGGTATGGGTTTCTTTTTCTACTGATGCCAGTGTTCTGGAATTGGGTAGTGGTGGTGGTCATGCAACACTGTGGATTTGCTAAAAGTTCCTGCACTATATACTTTAAACTGGCTACGATGATGAATTCTATCACAATTGAAAGAAACTGATATGCAATGTATTCACCACGAGACCCAGCACATGTCTTAAATAAATAATAGTTATGATTTTTAAAGTGGAGGTGGAGGGATGTTCTGGAGAACTGTTTTAGGTTATAGGAGACTAGAGGGACATGAAAACTAAATACAAATGGTATGATCTTTGGACCCTAGATACCTCTCTCCAAAAACAAAAACAAAAACAAAAACAAAAACAAACCACGTATAGGCTGGGCTTGGTGGCTCATGCCTGTAATCCCAGAAATTTGGAGGCCAGGGGTGGTGGATCGCTTGAGGCCAGGAGTTTGAGACCAGCCTGGGCAACATGGTGAAACCCTGTCTTTATTTTATTTATATAAAATTTAAAATAAATATGTAAAATACATTAAATATTTAAAATAAATATTTTAAAAAGACTAGGTACAAAGTACATTTTAGAACAACTGGCTAAATCTGCCTATACACTGATCATTAGATAATATTATTGTATCAGTGTGAAATCCATTGGAAGTGATTACAGTAATGTCGGAGAATGTCTTTGCTCTTAGGAGCTACATGCTGAAGTATTTTGGGGTGAAGCTGCCCAGTGTCTGCAACTTATTTGTAAATGGCTCAGGGGGAAAACGGCCCATGTGGGTGTGTGTGTGCATGTATGAGTAGTAAGGGAAGGGCATGTGTCTTAATGAGAACAATTAGTGAACCAAGGTCAAGTGTACGTGGGTTTAAGAGCTTTCAACATAAAAAGTTGGGAAAAATATTAAAGGAACAACACAGCATTCAGAATAGGATTTGGGATGCTGTGTTGAAGAACTGGACTACTTACTTCAAGTCCGATACAGAGATGCATAGAAAGAACAAAAACACCAGTGTTGACAGTGGTCACTGATCATTGCTGAGTCATGGCATCACTGATTTTTTTCCTTCTCTATATGTAAAAAAACCATGTTTTCAGGTTTCCTACAATGATGACCTACCTGTTTTTCATAATAAGGACAAGGTATTTTTAAAAATAAAATTTTCAGTTCCTTGGAGTATTTCCCATTAACTGAGGAGGGGCCATAACTACAGACTTAAGCTGAAGCAGAAAGGATTTCTGATGGAAACAAGGGCCATTTCCCCGGAGACAGGGGAGCAACCCAGTGGGCAACTTCAGAGGGCTCCAGCTGAGGGCGTGCTCTCATGCATCGGGAAGGGTGGAGTCTGGGTCCTGGAGTAGGCAGCCTCTCAATGAACTATCCAAGAGTCTTTTTAAAAAAATTTTTAGCCCCGTTTACTTTAGGTCAGGCATGGTGGCTCATACCTGTAATCTCAGCACTTTGAGAGGTCAAGACAGGAGGATCACTTGAGCCCAGGGGTTTGGGTCCCACCTGGACAACATGGTGAGACCCTGTATCTAAAAAAAAAATTTAGCCAGTCATGGTGGCATGCACCCTTACTCTCAGCTACCAAGGAGGCTGAAGTGGGAGTATCATTTGAGGCTGGGAGGCTGGGGATGCAGCTGGCCCTGATGTGACACTGCACTCCAGGTGGGTTGACAGAGTGACACCCTTTCTCAAAAAAAAAAAAAAAAAAGAGTTTACTTTTCAGCTAAATCTGTACATATGCATAAGCTTGGTCTGATCTGGTAAAAAAAAATTGGAAAAAGTTTCTAATTTGGGCAGAGAAGCACAAGAATTCTCACATCTGGGTTTTAAAACCTCCAATAGGAGCCCCCCAGAGCCTTACCCTACTGGGCTACCCAGAAGGCCTCTGGTGCACACAGCCCATGGCACAAGGGCTCCTGGGGAGGTGGAGGGCGGTGAGATTTGAGGTGCCCAAGCCACCCAGATCTGTCCTGGGGTGAGGGGGTGCCGGCAGCAGTAACCAGCAGGACCAGGGAGCATCTCCCACAATTCACTCCGGTCCTGCTGTTGTCTGGTCACATTTAGGAAAGAGCGTGGTTTGGTCACATATATTTATTCGTAACAGAAACTTCCTACTGAAATAGGAGGATCACTGGCAGAGAAACAATCATCAAATTCTCCAAAGTACCTAAAAGGTTATTACATTTTACTGTCTCTCATTTATAAAATATAATCTAAGAACAACTGTACTGCCATTTGATACAAATAATTGCTCAATATTTACCACTTAAGATGATTTTCCATCTCTTCGTGAATGTCCTGTCTGACTTTCTGTTCAAAGAGTGCCTCCTTCATCTGTCTTGTTTTTGAAATTTCAGTGCCTTGATCCAAAACTGAAGGCAGGAGCAGACAATGTTTATACCAGTAATCAAATTGGAATCATTTGCAGAGAGAAAAACACATTTCTAATGGCGAGGCATAAGAGCAGTCTAACCGAATTTTGTTGTTCGTAGGTAAGCAATGTGACAAGCAATAACTCTTTCATATTCTGCTCAGGGGCTACTTCATGGCCAGTCACCTGGTTACCTTCTCTTAATTCTTTAATCTTCAGTTTTCCCGGTTCTTGGTTTAAAACAGTTGCCACAGCAAACGGATTCGATAAATCTACTGGAAATCTCAGGTTCTGGTACTCAATTTCCTAAGGGTCCAAATCAATAGGAAAATCAGTTACTCTGCTGCTCTGTCACCCCTTCATCACACTGAGGACAAGGCCCACCGTACCTTCACCTTCTGAAGCTTCGGTTTCACTGGTGGTCGGTGAAAATATATATGCGTCATTGCTTTTTCTGGAGGAATGTTTACTTTTTTAGAAAGGGTATTCAATCTTTCGAACTCTTCCAATCTATAGGTTAAAACAAATGTTAAATTAGTAAATAAGTCACTACCTCAAGGTCCTTAATTTTTTTTTTTTTTTGAGATGGAGTCTTGCTCTGTCACCAGGCTGGAGTGCAGTGGCCCAATCTCGGCTCACTGCAACCTCTTCCTCCCAGGTTCAAGCGATTCTTCCACCTCAGCCTCCCGAGTAGCTAGGACCACAGGCATGTGCCACCACACCCGGCTAATTTTTTTGTATTTTTAGTAGAGATGGGGTTTCACCGTGTTGGCCAGGATGGTCTCCATCTCTTGACCTCATGATCTGCCCGCCTTGGCCTCCCAAAGGGCTGAGATTACAGGCATGAACCACTGGGTCCCTAAATTTTTATATTTCTTTTGATAACACCACAACTTGAAGTCCCTTATTATGTCTAAACTAAAAATAAATGTATACCTCAACAGTGATCTACTAAAATAAATGTGATGTCACTGTATTAGAGTATAATCAGAGCTATCAGAATAGCCCACCAATGGTTGTTTTGCCTTATATTCTTAAAGAACATAATGACTAAAAATATGACATGCCGAAAACGGTCTCATGGTCTAGCACAATCCATTTCTAGCCTGTTGGTTTTTCAATAGCTGGAGTTACCACATTTAAAAAAAAATCTTACTTTGATTTATCTTCCTAGTAAAAGAATGATTATACCAATTGTTTGTAGCAAGATGTTTCAAAAAGAGATTCAAACTAATGTTTGGGATCTTTTCTGTAACTAGAAACTGACTTGGACGTGGGTAGTGAGAGACAGTGCAGCCAGCAGCCCACAGAAGCTATTCGGGTTATCCATTATGAGGTGCAGTAGAACTGTGTGTTATTCAGAAATGCTACTTATGAAGCATTTTGTTTTTAGAAACGATTTTTATCTTAAGAGTTCTATTTTTCTGCAACACAAGGCAAAGTTACGATTTTGAAAATCACCATTTTAAAATTTATTTGTTCAGTACATTTGGCATAATAGTTTAGGTAAAACTAATGTTACATATCAAGCATTTCTTTAAGCAAGGATAAACACTTGTTTTCCATGACCTTACGAAAATAAGAAAAAAATAGGTGAACTTTTACTCACTCTGACAGTTAATATGCATTTGTTGAGCACCCACTGAACAGGCCTGTTGCATTATATGGAACATATGCTAGCAACCTCAAATTTAATGCCTGCATTTAAAAGCATCCTTATTACCCAGGGCATGGGAGAACCTGTTCCTTGGTGAGACTCACACCCACTGACATGCTCTGATGTTCAGGATGAGGAGCTTAGCCAGGTAGTGAAATGGAGTTCAGCATCCCCATCTCAGTGGAGCTTTGACACCACCTCTGCTGTTAACTACTGGGGAGCAACAAAACCTGGGGATGTTAAAAAGCAGCCTCCCAAACAACATCCTCAGTGTTGATGATGGAAATGAAGAGGTCTAAGAAATGATAAACAAATTACATGGGGAATTTTGCAGTGCCAAATGAAGAAAGCAACCTATGACAATCTCAGAGAACGCTACAGCCAGTATTTTTCCCTGTTGAGAAACTATAGCCAGTTTTTTTCCCTTCATGGTAGAATTTATATGTTATAATATTATTTGCAGCTCGGAGAGACATGCATATCTTAAAACATAGTCCTTGAAAATGTCGAGTATATGAAACAAGCTATTAACATAATAATTTAGAAATAGTGTATGCCTGCATTTGTATGGTGCTTCTGCCATACAATGCTGTCGTACATGTAAAAACACAGCTATAGGAGCTGCGCGCAGTGGCTCACACCTGTAATCCAAGCACTTTGGAAGGCTGAGGCGGGGAGATCACATGAGGTTGGGAGTTCGAGACCAATCTGACCAATGTGGAGAAACCCCATCTCTACTAAAAATGCAAAAAAACTAGGTGGGTTTGGTGGCAGCCATCTGTAATCCCAGCTACTTGGGAGGCTAAGGCAGGAGAATCACTTGAACCTGGGAGACGGAAGTTGCAATGAGCCGAGATTGCACCATTGCACTCCAGCCTGGGCAACAAGAGCGAAACTCCGTCTCAAACAAACAAACAAAACCCCACACAGCTATGAAAGGCTATAAAAAAAAAATCCCACTCACGTGATGGCTTTAAGAAAGTCATTGGAGTGTTGTAGCACCTGATGTGAAATGACAAACAGCGTTTTGCTCACCTGGTCAGCAGAAAAATCAGCTGTTTTAAAATCTGTATTCAGTTCTACTTGTTTGTTGCCTGAGTTATTTTATTTCAACGACAGTTATTTGCAGGATTTGGGTCCAGCAAGCCACAATAATATCCTACAGTTGATTACGCTGCTTTGAATTTTTGTGAAGAAAATCATGATATAAATATATATGATATCACGGAGTGAGTTCATATTTTGGTATAAGGTTGCTACTCTACTTGTAATATGCTGAATGATGTTAATATGTGATGTGTATCCATGTGCAAAGAGGAGGAAAACCAAAATATTTCCCTATCATTTTCAAAATAATTGTCAGAATCTTCTAAGATTGGTATTTATACTGTGACAACTTTTTTTTTTTTTGATATGAAGTCTCGCTCTGGCACCCAGGTTGGAGTGCAGTGGTGCCGATCTTGGCTCACTGCAGCCTCCGCCTCCTAGATTCAAGCGATTCTCCTGCTTCAGCCTCCCGATTAGCTGGGACTACAGGCACATGCCACCATGCTCGGCTAATTCTGTATTTTCAGTAGAGATGGGGTTTCACCATGTTGGCCAGGCTGGTCTTGAAAGCCTGAGTCGAGGTGATCTGCCTGCTTCAGCCTCCCAAAGTGCTGGGATTACAGGCGTAAGTCACCACACCCAGCAACTTTTAACCTTTATAAAAATCGTGGGTATAAGAAAAAACCACGATGTTAACCAGAGGCACTGGGATTGAAAAGTACAAGCTCATATTCAAATGGAAATGGAAGTTCAGGAAGGATTTGTTATAAAGTACAACTTAATCCCATTCCAAATCTTCACTCTGACATAAAGTCTGACGGTGCTTTGAAAACCCTCCTGTGTGTGGCACTTTCTGTCTCTGCCTCATGTGAAGTCACTTGTTATATGATTTATTTTGGTCTCTTGAGGTTGTGGTCCATTTTCCACTGAACTTTGTAGTGGACAGTGCACACGGCAGGGACTCAATTAATTAAAATGCTATATGGAAACCTTAAAAACAGTTACGTTGTTCTAGCCCTATTGTTTAAATTTTGGAATAGGCAATAAGACATGCATATGGTAAAAAATTCCAACAGTGCACCAGTAGTAATCAGTGGAAAAACGTGTCCCTCAAAAATCCCTTTTTCTTGTTTCTTCCCTTCCTGTCAGAAGCAACTCCTGCTGCTAGCATAGACATGTTCTATATTTCCGTTATGTTTTAAAGTATATTTTATGTCGGCTCATCATTTTAAGTAAGTTTTTGATGACATTCTGTTATAAGAAAGACAGAATGGAAGAAAATAACACTCGGGTTTTGAAAAAGGGCTAAGGATAAACAAAAACACTGCAAAGACGCCATACGGTAAGGCCATGTTGGGATAGCACGTTCCGGTGAAGACACATTCGTACGGTTGAGAGTTGAACTGTGAAATCCATAACTGCATTTTGATTTGTGCAGTCCCATACTGAAAGGGTGTAAATGTAATAGTCACAGTCGTCTTCCCATTAGCTGGAATTATTCCTGAGAGGAAAGAAATGAGAAAATGTGATACCCTCTCTTCTTGCCAAGGCCAGTCACAGAGGCCGACACACATACAAACACAACTGACCGTTGGACAATGCGGAGGTTAGGGGTGCTGACTCCCCATACAGTTGAAAATCCACATATAGTTTTTGGCTCCCCCAAAAGCTAATAGCCTTCTGTTGACCAGAAGCCTTAATGATAACATAAAGTCATTTAACACATATTTTATGTGTTATATGCATTAGGTACTGTAAACCAGAGAAAAGAAAATGTCACTATGGAAATTATGAGGAAGAGAAAATACATTTGTTATTCATTAAGTGGAAGTGGATCATCACAAAGGGGGTCTTCGTTCTCTTTGTCTTCATGTTGAGTAGGCTGAGGAGGAGGAAGAGGGGTTGATCTTGCTGTCTCAAGGGTGGCAGTGGCAGAAGAGGTGGAGGAGGTGGAAGAAGAGGCAGGCACACTTAGTATAACTTTTACTGAAAAAAAATCTGAATATAAGTGGACCGATGCAGTTCAAACCCATGTCATTCAAGGGTCAACTGTACATTCTTCCCATGCTAAGCCCAAGTACAGTATTTTCATTATCCTCATGTAGCTTTTTCATTAAACACCTGTGAATCAACTTCTCCATGTTTACATGATCTTATTTACTACTACATTAATCCTTTACAGTCATTATTTGATTGTGTCACTTCTACAAATATATACATATCAATCTGCATTAGTGATTCAGACATGAATTCCCAGAACTATCATCTGTAAGCAAATTACCAGATGTCAATATCAATGCTGTAAGCAACAGGAAAAGCTAGGAACACACATGCAAGTTTGTGTCGAAATGATTCAGTTCTTTTTTGTGTAATTTGATTCTCTCCTTTCAAATCTCTAGAATCTACTGCTATTCTCCCCAGAGTCAAATATCACACCATGCCTAATTCGTCTTTTGCATCTCTGGTGCCAACAGGGCTTGGAACATAGTAAGTGCTAACAAATTTGGAGAGAAAAAGAGAAGAAAGGATCAATGTTATTTATTTATATATTTACTTACTTACTTATTGCTGTCCCCAACTGGAAGGTAAACTGGAGGATGAATGTTCTCTCTGACTTCCACTGAAGGCTCCTAGGTTTGCTTTCTAGATAAGACCACCTGCCCCTGTGCATTTGGTCCTCCCACTGTCCCTGCAGAGGCCTCGCACAGTCCCCCATGAGTGCCTGGCATGCCCTCCTTTGCATCCACCTGCTTCTCTGCTTCCTGAATCTTGTGCTCCCCTCCCTTCTCCCTGTGATCAACCACATGGGCCTGCCCTTCACCCATTCATGTGAGTGCTTGCTGTGTGCCAGGCACTGTTTTAGGCACTTGAGATACAGCAAACAAAACAAATACCAGACCTCACAGTTTATATTCTATTTGGGGACAGAAAAACATAAATAAATGAACAAATGAACATAAAATACAAAGTCAAGACATGAATACCAACAGGGCATGGGAAAGCAAGTGGGTGGAAAGGAAAGGGCCCCCTGATGAGGAGAGGTGGGAGTGCAGATCTGAGAACTGAGAGGGCCTTGGCTCTAATCCCTTATTTCTGGCTCCTGCTGCCTCGAGATCGGCACTTGCAATTCCCTACGCCTGAAGAGCTCTCTCTCCAGATTTTCTTTTAGCTTCATCCTACTCTCTGAAATTATCACATTTACCATCTGCCTTCTCCTAGAGTGTAAATTTTAGGAAAGCAGGCACCTGCTCATTACCGCATTCCCAGCTCAATAAATTTTTGTTGAATGAGTGAATGAACCCAAACTTGAAAGCCTATATCAACCTACATACAAAGTTCCCCTGCCTCTCCCTCCACAGGAACCTTCTGTCAGCCCTACTGAACTCGTGTACCCTGATTTGTAACCTTTTGAAGTTTCCCCGTCTCCCACCTAGATCACAAGCCCGGAAGGCAGACACCAGTCCCATACCTTTTTTGTCTTCCTGGATCCCCAGCACAGTACTTCAGAAATAGGTCTCCATCAATTTCCTGAGAGCAGAAGTCAAACTCTTTCAATGATACCCACTAGTTACCCTAGAATCCACTGCAGGGAGGAGGGAATCAGCAGAAAAGCTTGGGTCCGTGAGCCGACCTAAGACCAGCTGGATAGAAAATGTGATTCTCCATCATGTGTGGGCCTTCAATATTTTGACCACCCACTTGGTCAGAAAATAAGCACCCTTTAACCTATATATTCATGTGAGGCTCTAAAATAAGAACATTCTATTGCTCCTGCTCTAGCTCATTAACTGAAAAAAAAAAAAAAAAAAAAAAAAAAAACAAGGACAAGCTCTGGAAGCAAGGATTAATGTTTACCTTGACCTGGCTGATTTATTTTAAAGTGCTGTCAGCTCAGACCTAATACATAAAGCACACTGTTAAGGTGCAGTCTAGGCAACCAGAATACACTGCTTTTTCCACTAACAGGATGCCAGTTAATACAGGGAGCAGTGGATTGTCAAATGTTAGCAGCTGTAAAAGGTGTGCCAAGGAGTTACAGTTTACTGCTCAGCAGAAATGAACAGTGGGACAAAGGAGAGTATGTTTCATATTTTTTTTAAGTGAGAAGGGTACCCCCCACCCCCAGCAATGACTACCTCATTTAAGAAAAAGCCCAAATTGCTGTTTTATGTTTCAGGTCAATTTCATCTGGTCAATTTCAGATCACCATCCTTAAGATAACCAGGGGTCATGTTGACTCACAACATGGAAGGTGGTGAGCAGAGACAGAGAGGAGAGGAAAAAACTCAGAAATCAACTGAAGGTTAAGAGAACCCTAGTTTATCAATATGATGGGTATCATAAAGAAAAAGTAACAGCACTGGAAAATAATATCATGGTAAATGAAATCAGAGGAACTACCACTGTGTCTTTACCGGAACTACAATTGTATAAAGCATGTGCTTAAATATGAAAAGTTATTAAAAGGAGATGGAAAAATAAAAGCACATTACTTATTACGGCAGTGAGGCCCAGGATGGGGATAGCTTTTTAAAATTTCTTTTTTCCCATGTCCAGACAGTGTCACACATTGTACTGACACTGTAAAATTATTTAATTTTAAAATAATTTTTTCTTCAAAGATCTCTCAGAAAGTACAGATCACTCTGTCTAAATTGTCACAGAGCCATTCGATCCACATACTTAAGGTGTTATTGAGGCAGAATAGGGTCTGGAGGCAGGGAACCTAAGGCCGATTCACACTGACTTCCTAGAACTAAATCAGAAGGAAAACCCCAACTCTCCACACCTAAGTAACAACAAAAAAGTGGAGGCTACTCCCTGTGTAAAACCCCCCACCACTTTGTGCGGCAGATGGGAAAGTATCTCTGATTGATGGCAGAAAGCAACCAAAGCTTAGGAGTCTAAGTTTGTAACTTTACATCAGCCTCTGACTGTGGGCCACTACTTCATTTCCATAGGGTGTACACCAAGTAACCAATGGGAAACCTCCAGAGGGTATTTAGACCCAGAAAATTTTATAATGGAGCTCTTGAGCCCCTGTGCTTGCTGGTTCCACCCTGTGAAGTGTAGTTTTGCTTTCAGTAAATTTCTGCTTTTGTTTCCTCATTCTTTCCTTGCTTTGTGTATTTTGTCCAATTCCTTGTTCAGAACACCAAGAACCTGGACACCCACTACTGGTAACATTATAAGTATTGATTTTCATATTCTAAGATTTACGGTACCTCTAGCTGGGTGACTTTGGGTAAACTACTTAATCTCTCAAAGCTTCTGTTGGGAAATTAATAGCTATATAGCTTTACAATCATCCACATTCTAACAAGGCTTCGATTCACTGGGTTACAGAAGGGAGGGCCACCATCCCACAGTGGCCACACTCCCCAGCCTCTGCTGCTGCCCAGGGACTGTGGGCAAGAGCGAGGCCCTAGGACTCACATACCCTGACTTAGACCTTGCTGGATTACACACGAACTGTGTAACTCAGCTTGACTACCTTAGCTGAGGCTCAACTTTCTCATCTGTAAAATGGGACAAGGCTTAAAGGAGAAAATAATATACAGGGTCTGGGATAATGCTTGGCACATATAGTGTGTGTCCTATAAATGTGGCTTTCCCAATCCTTATGCTAAATAAAACAAGTAACAATTTATTGTGAATTATCATTAAAATATCCAAAAGAAGAAATATTTCTTTGAAAAACTTACACTTGACCAGTTTGAGTTCTTACAAAGGAAGAGGCAATTGCCTCACGATGCCAAACCACTCGTATGAGCGTCCCAAAGCACCGGGTCTTCCTTTTGCTCCACAAAAGTGCCAAGCACAGGCGAATCTACAGCTCAGAAGACAAGGACACAGCAGCCTCTGCAAAGTCTGTTTTAACGCATAGGCCTGGAGACTTACTGGGAGGAGGTAAAAGAGAAGCCCCGAGGGCTTTCGGATCCATGTTCACTTCTAAATTTCCCAGGAAGAATAGCTCCTGCTCATTCACAGCAATTGAAGACACATGTGGTGCACATACTGCGATACCAACAATCCCCAGCACTCATTTTAATCTTTTATTCCTTTCTCCCTTCAGCAAGCTTTTTTGACTATGACTAGAAACACGTGGTAAAATTCAGTCTTTTGGAATCTACTAACTTTCTATTTCATCCCTGTCCATCAAATATCCAAAATGCAGACCTCAGCAGCAAGACCAGACAGCCTGAGGGCGGTGCCTGTACTGACAGGGAATGTGGAGAAGGAGTCTGAGTAGAGGATGCTTGGGAAACTAAGCCAGGTCAGGAATTCCTTTTCCATCAAGCATATAAGCTGCTGGCCAGAAGCAACACGTGCAGTGCACAGGCATTGGTGCCTAACGTCGCAGAGACAGCATCCCTGGAGGGCAGGGTGACTGGAGGGGTTTCAGAGCCTGCTCCTGGAGCTGCAGGAAGCGCAGCACACCCCCAAGCCACCCACTGCTGGAGCCTGTCCACTCCACCATGCGTCCCTCACCATCTCTAA